ATCAATGACGTTTCTCAATCAATTAACCTTAATCAAACATTTCTCTCAATAGATTCTTACCAAATTATTCCTCACCTCTCAGTTGATTTGTTTTAATATGATTTAAATGTGTTAAATATCGTCAATGACATATTTTAGTATAAATGATTATATAATTTAGATGTAAATTTCATAATGATGATGAATAAATATGTGAAATTGTATAAACTTATCTATAAATTCAACGCTATAGTTTTTAATAGGTAAAATAGAAAATTCAAACAAATTCAGACATTTATCAGTTTACAAAGACAAACAGTCTTATTGATTCAGATTTCAGACTTCAACACCACCACTTATAAATCAGAACTGAAATAAGACTTCAACACCTCTTAAAAAACAAACTTCACCTAAGTCTTATGTAAATAAAGTTGTCTGTGTGACTAATATAAAATATTTCTTATTAAATTATTGAGTAAATTACGTTATTTGTTCATGTGTTAAAAATTGCGATTTTCGTCATTGTATTTTAGATATTATGGTTTTCATTCCTATAGTTTATAAGTTATTGTTATGTTTGTCCTTATAATTTAATGTTGTTTCAGTTCTTATAATTTTACATTCTTTTACTATTTTGATTTGCTGTACTTAAAAAGGTAAAAATCAGTTTAATAACGAAAATAACAATAAATTACAAACCATAGAAATAAAAATTGCAATTACTAAACCACAGAGACGGAAATTGTAATTTTTGGTTGCAATAACAATAAGGATGAAAAATGTAATTTACTCCAAATTATTTAACCATTCATATTTCTAATTTGGTTTAATTAAGATAACTTCCATCTGGGTAAAATCGTATGAAAATGCAGTCTACTTTGACATGATTTCTATTTTGTGTAATATAGTTTTAAAATATTTATTTTGGTACATGAGATAAAACATCTCAAACATTTAAGTACCTATTTCTAAGGGTGCTCAAAAACCCGACCAACTCGAACTAATCCAACGCGAAATAACTCAACTTGAAGCAACACGATGTCTAATCGAGTTGTAAAAATTTTAAACCGTAGGTATTTTGGTTGATATTGGGTTACTATTATCTGAACTCAACCTAACCCGATGAATCCGATATCCTTTTATTTATTGGATTTAATATGATTGTTGAATTTATAATAATATATGTATTAGACAATTACACTATCACATACGCTCTTCATATACACATCTTTTCAATCTATTCACATATTTATATAACTTATTCGTATATATGTTAAATAACTGTAAACATATATACGTAAATTGAGAAAATTAACTGAATATGATATATGTAAGAAGTATGGATAAGTTGTATCAAATGGTTGATGATGAAAAAGAAATTACGTGTAAAGAAATAACATATTCAAGGTTAGAAGAATATTTTAATATATCAGAGTATCAACATAACCAACCCGTACGATTTGGGTTGCACTTTCGTTTGGGTTGGATTGGGTTAAGATTTTTTAAACCGCAATAATTAGGTTAGATTATTCAAATGTGTTCAACCCGATTAACCCAACCCATGAGCACCCCTACCTATTTCTTTAAACCGTGGGGTATTTTTGTCTTTTTATTATTACTATAGTTTTCTTTAAAAAAATTACTAGAAGCGTACTCACGCAATGCAGCGAGATATATCGTGATTTTAATATTTCATTTTATTCTTTATCTCAGTCGATGTTATAATATGTCTTTATGTGATTTTGAGAAAGCGATGATGTTTTTATTTTTGAATAAAATATATGTTTGAAGATATCATAAAATTTTGACAAAAATATATCGATATTAGTATTAAATTAACTATTTGAAATTTCTCATTTTTTTGTGTAATTTTTTAATTTAATTTTATAATTTAATTTATGTACAATAACGAAGTAATTTGTATTTTGTTTAATAATATAATTTTYTTATAAAGATAATAATTAWTTATTTTGTTRGAACTCGATAATTATYCTAATTATATTTTAGATTTTTTATATTTTAAAATGAGATGTTCATTCTCTATTTGATTATGTTTATCCGCAGTTATTTATACGAATTCAAACACCGAGCTTTAATAAGTTGTACTTATGCATAATTACTTGTAATCTTGAATTTTAAGTAATATGCATCAATATACAATAATTTATGCATAACAAATTTATATCGATATTCGTATCAAATTAACTATTTAAAATTCCTCATTTTTTGTGTAATTTTTTATTATAATTTAATTTAGGTAAAATAATGAAGTAATTTATACTTGATTTAATAATATAATTTTCTTATAAAGATAATAATTAATTATTTTGTTAGAACTCGATAATTATCCTAATTATATCTTAGATTTTTAATATTTTAAAATAAGATCTTTATCCTCTATTTGATTATATTTATCCGCAATTAGTTATACGAATTCAAAAATCGAGCTTTGATAAGTTGTACTTTTGTATAATTTACTTGTAATCTTGAATTTTAAGTAAATATTTGTTTTATGTGGTTTTGAGAAAGTGGTAATATTTTTATTTTTGAATAAAAAATATAAAATTAAAAATTTCATAAAATTTTGAAAAAAAAAATATCGATATCAGTATTAAATTAATCTTTTTAAAAGTTCTTATATTTTGGTGTAATTTTCTTAATTAAATTATGTTAGTTATCAATGATTATCATGATTATATTTTAGATTTTTTATATTTAAAATGAGATATTTATCAAATATTTGATTATATTTATCTGCAGTTAGTTAGACGAATTCAAGTATGGAGTTTTAATAAGTTGTATTTATGTATAATTTACTTGTGATCTTAAATTTTAAGTAATATGCATCAATAAACAATACTTCGTGTATAAAAAAATTATTTTTAAGAGTTTTTGTCAAATACTTGTTTTATTACGATAACTAATAATCTTTTGAATACTTCGTTGCTTCAGAATCAAGTTTTAGTGTTGGTGGGAGAGGTATAGGTACCCATCGTTCCTCTTTAGGAAGGAAGATGGTAGATATGCTCATTTGCGGAGCTAATTGATATCGTCATGCACAAGAAGAAAAACGAAGTAATTTTTATGTTTAAACTACGGATAATTGGTGTGTAACTTGTTCATTTTTGTTCGTTCATGCCTGTTTATTTTTGTTCGTTTGTTTAGCATCTTAACGAACGAACATGAACACATTCATTTTCTGAACGAACAAACACGAACACAAAGAGTTTTGTTCATTTACCATCCGTGTTTGTTCGGTTAAGTTAAATGAACGAACATGAACAAGAACAAGCCTTCATTTGTGTTCGTTCTGTTTGTTTACAGGCCTATTTATGGCCAAAGAAGGTTATGTTTATGTTTGGTCTTGTTATGGTAGGGTACAATAATTTGCCAACCAATTGTCTATATGGTGATGGGTCATCCAATACTTCACCTTCTGAGGTACACAAACGGAGTTTAGGATCCATTGGGTGCATAGATGGTTTAGCAGCTACTTAACCAACATCTTCAAATGAAAAACTGAGGAACACTCCGATGACCGTTCATCTGGATGGTATGAACATGTGCATACAAGTAATTTGCAAGCAATTTGTCTGGTGCATAGAAACCAAGAAACAACTTCAATTACTTGTATGCATATGTGTATATCGTTCAGATAGACGGTTACCAGGGTGTTCCTTAGTTTTTCATTTTTTTGGGGGTTTTCCCTTGAACCTTCCTCTCTCTGCATACTACAAACAGTTGATGGAACAGAACAAACAATATGTCCAAGAACCAGCAACTATGGGGAAATGCAATGAGTTGTCCAAACAATTGTTCTACACTCGTCTTGCCAGGTTAACTTTTATTTAAACTTCTCCTTAATTAGTCGAGATTTTTTTGTACTTCGCTTGGCATCCGATGTAGCTTATGCTTACACAGGTACACTGTTCTTTTTTACTTAATGTCTTAATGATAAAAAAGACATGTTTGCATACATCCCACCTCCGAGACCCTACTTTTGTAGTGCCGTGATATATCATATACGTGTTAATTGGTCCCTTCTTTGAAATTGTCACTTCTGTAACACATGTATGTTTTTTACAGTATTCCTAACCGTAACGAGTCATTCTGGAAAGAACTAGATCACATGAAGAATTTATGGAAGAACACGCAAGAGTTACAGGTCGAACAAGTTGGGATCGTGGCTTTATTTGGGATCGAATGCTTTGCTTGGTTTTGTGGTGGTGAGATTGTTGGTAGGGGTTTCACAATCACTGGTTACCATGTCTAAGTTTGCAACCATTTTGGTAATGTTTGGTTCATTTGTAGGCATAGTGTTTGATAAACTGTTACATGTTCGTAGGATGATTGTAAAGGTTCATATACAAGTCATGTTTGGTAACTTAAGCTAGCTATGGGATATTTTTCACAACATCATAATTGGTTTGTTGGTTAGTTCATTGTTTTTCATATGTGAGGTCTTATGTTCAAGTTTTTTACTGCATTTTTTTCTTCTTCAGAAAAATAATAAATTCGAAATTAAAAGATAAAAACTAAGAAAATGACGTTAATGGGATTCAAACTTGGGTCTAGTGTGGAAGAAATTTTTTGCAAAACAACTTTATAAAGGAAAACTTATGTTTTTATTATAGTTTCAAAATATATATGGTGGCACGCAACAAATCGATATAGTTGCACCTTTAACGAACCTAATTTTTTTTTTACTTTTCAATGGAGGGATAATACGGTGGCACTTGCCACCTGTACGTAAACTGAAACGAAAATCTGCGGTTTAACTTTTCGATTAAACATGAACTGTTAAGTAGTTGTATTATTATTATTATTATTATTATTATTATTATTATTATTATTATTATTATTGTATTTTTTTTATTAATTACAAACATTGATGAATTGATCTTGCCATATTTTTTACTATTATTTAATGTTAAATTTATTTTTTGTGGTATGTATGGGACCAGAAAATTAAAAAATAAATTAAAGGAAAAAAAAAGGACCAATCAGAATGAAGGAAACACGTCAGGCACTACCTGGAAGAAAACCAACCGGAGAAGCCGAAACGAGTAGAGAGTCGAACTCCGGCCACATTTCTGGATACAAAATCTGTATATCTATAATCTAGAGATGATGATTTGGATGAAAATCTCATTCATAATCATCAGCATTGCGTTTGCAGAATCTACGGATGCATCTCAGGTTTGTAAATCTCTATCTACGTAGCTTCATATCCGTGTAATTTTATACAAAATTCAAATTACGCGGTTCATCAAGTGCAATAAATTAATTGGCAGGTTAGATGCAGCAAGAAATGCGTGGCGGAAAACTGTAACTGTAATGCTCTTTTTCATGTTTTTAGATTTTCTATGGAAGTTCTTCGAATTAATTGATTTGATTTATTGATTCGTTACGCGTTATCAGCGATTGGGATTAGATACGGGAAGTACTGCGGTGTTGGATGGACCGGATGTCCAGGTGAAAAGCCGTGCGATGATCTTGATGCTTGCTGTCAGATTCATGACGATTGCGTCGAGAAAAAAGGTTTGTTTGTGAATGTAAAAGAATTAATCACGTTTTACTGAATGTTTGATTTCCATTTGATGTGGCTCTTGTTTCTTAATCTGTGCTGTGTCTATTGATCTAGATGATTTAAGCTTTGATGGTGATTTAGAATTGATGACATAGATAACATAGTTTCTATGGATCCCTATCAATGTTAACTTATGGTAAAACTGAGAAGATATTCTGGAACAAAAATTCAGAGATTAAACTGCTTGTGGGATAAGTTTGGGATGTTAAGCTCATAGAGTTTGTTGTAGGGTTCTCACGTAATGAACCGTTGTCAGGAAAGTTTGATTAGATCACTCGACTGTCCTGAAACTGGAGGTTTTAGGAATGACTATGCCTCTTGATTTACTCGCAACTCATTCGACACTTGAAATGCATAACCCATTCTTTTACATTCTGCTATGTTATATGGGTGCTATCTTTGCAAGTATTGTTATTTGTTACTTATCCTACAATCTTGCTTGGCCAATGTTTACTTAGCAAGTGTGCTAAGCAGTTGATATGAACTAACATGCTTGATTTTAGGCATAGAGTTGATGCTCGACCTCAATGGTTCTAGCATTTACAGTATGGATTGTGGAAGCTATATGATTATAATTGTAAATAGCTCTTGCTGATGATAATGCCAAGGGGAAACAATCAACAAGGTGACATCAATTACTAACATCGATGTCTGATGAAATGTCAAGCGCATGGATAGGAGGATTCACAAAAGATTTATGACTTCACAGACTTGCTTGTATGGCCCAGTTTAATGATTAGATGCCTAAGGATCTCATCCCTTAAAGTTCAAGCTAGAAGCAAAATCATTTTGATAAGATACTGGCAAACTCCCAGCAGTTGATTAATGCATTCAGCTTCTTGGGTGTTGGATGTAGTTTTTTCTTGGAAAAATGGAAAGCCACCTCAACCAAGTAAACTGCAACATAGAAGATGGTATTCTCTAGTTTTTTTTTTTTTTTGGTTGGCAAGACTGTTATGAATTTATATCATTTATTTGCATACCATTAATAAGGTATGCATTCAGCATACCAAACCAAACAATTATCTCACACAGAGGTAGGATCGGGGAGTGGGGAGGGTAGGATGTGTAGGGGTATAGAGGACCTTCATTTTACAAGTGAGATGAAAAAAAATCACTGAAGTGTATGCAGATTCAAGCTTTTGGGATAATTCCTTACGAGTTCATGGGTGATTTATATTGCACATTTAGTTTGTGATCAAGGGCATGGTTTTCAGTCATAAGCCCACTCTGCATCTCTTTTGCTGAAGAATACTATATTTAAGCAAATACAGATATGTTTTTATCTTGCACTATAGTGACTCGTGTAACCTGTATTGTCTAGGAATGACTAATGTGAAATGCCACGAAAAGTTCAAGCGCTGCATAAAGAAAGTTCAGAAATCCGGCAACACGGGGTTCTCTAAGGACTGCCCCTATGACACTGCAGTGCCTACAATGCAACAGGGTATGGACATGGCCATCTTATTTAGCCAGTTTGGTAACTCTAAGATTGAACTCTAATTGGCTTTCTACACAATTTTTGGAGATGAAACTTTTATACAGTCGATCATGACCCCATTTTTTGTAAAAGTTACCTTACAAATTCAATTTGTAACAAGAAAGTATGACATAACTCGCATTACATTGATCTTGATCATCATTAGTTGTTTGTGTTTTGATTGTAATTTCCTCCGGACCCTACTTCGCGGTTGTCTAGTTTGGTGTGGTTAATGACAGATATCAAGAAGACGAAAGGGTATATGATCATATACACTTTTCTAAAAGGCTTGCCACACGGCTGCCGTGACTCAAGGCTTGTGTCTCACGCCACGTCAAGCGTTTGGCACGCCATGGCCTAGTGCACGGTTTTGTAACCAGATATTTGATTTTTCTTACATTTTTAATGTCTTATTTGTTAGTTTTTAATATTTAATCTAATTTGAATTGTTTAATATCATTGACTCGTTGAGTAAATAGTAGCAAACATACATATATATATATATATATATATATGTTATGATATAAAGATTTGTCATCACAAGTCACGTCTTGAAAAATGGCGTGACCTTGACGTGGCTCCTAAGGCTTGAGGTTTGGCCTCGCCCCCACGACACACTCATGCCATTTAGAACCTTGAATTTATATAAAATGCTAGTTGATAAGCTAGTTGTTCGCTAGTAAGATAGTTGCAGGTTAAGGAGCTAATTGATAAAATGGACTAGTTTGTTGATAAACTAGATGACAATGTTATATGACTTAAACTGGTAGGATTTTTAGTTATTTATTTAAAACATAAGAAGCATAATCGGGAAAAAACCAGGAAAAAAACCCCCTAGAACTTTATAAAACGTATTTCAACTAGTTTTTTGAAACACCAGCTTACAAGCTACTTTTTTTAAAGTATATAATATTTGAACTCACACACTCTTCTTACCTATGTTGAGGCTTGAACCATTTGACCTCCCATGAAGGCAAAAGACTTCGATGTTAGGGCAAAGGCCCTTTGGTGCTTATAAGCTACTGTATGACTTACCAAATGAATCTTTTTCAATACATTTAAAAAACGAGCTACTTTTTTTTTTTTATTAACCTGGATATTCAACCCGCTATGCGAGCCGACTAATCCAGGACGACCAGCTGCTTTGCAGATAGCCCGGAGTCATCGCATTTGAACCTCCGTGACCACAAGGGGATTTTTATTTCTTCTTGAATTTGAACCTGAGACCTCCTAGTACTTTTGATCTTTGGAGTCAAGCTCAAACCAATAAGACACAACCCTTGTGGTTGAAAAAAACGAGCTACTTTATGATTATTAAACATGACCAAAGTAATTGTGATAGTTGATTGCTACACAATTTAATAAAATGTTTCATTAATAAATTAAATATTTAAAATAGCTTTTTTGGTTGTAGCAAAATATAAAAAAAATGTAAATTAAAATTATATCTTAAATATTTTGCAGCAGTCACTAAAGATTGTCGAGTAAATACTAAATAGATGAATTCAAATTTTGTAATCTGTACGTAGCATTTGGTTTGTTGAAAACAACTAAAAAATCTGTACGTAGCATTTGGTTTGTTGAAATCTGATGATTGTCACCATATATGAAATAGTTGGAACCATCATACGAGGCCCGGGGTAAAACAATTGGAAAAAAACGGGTCAAAAGCATCAATATCTACGTTACGGATACATAAAAACTGACTTTTATTGAAAGATATTTTCTGAAATATTTTTATTGTAAGTTGTAGATTATCTCTTTACGAACGCATGAGCGAAAATCACGTCAAAAACGGAGGTTCGAGCGAAAAGTTATGCAATTTTTAGTGATTAATGGTCAAACCGAGTTTTCAGCCGAGTCAACTCAGCCCCAACTCGTAAAAGTCGAATATACATGATGTTTACCTCCTTTTTCACCCAAAACAAAGTCTCATCTCCCATATTTACTACGAAACTATCAAAAACCTCAACCGGTCCCGATTTTCAGTCCCATAACCAATTCTTACCGGTCCTTCGTCGATCCTAGGCCAGGCCGATTTGGCCATCTCTAACCACTACCATCAAAAGCATTACAACCTCCATCCCACCACCATTATTATATTCAACAAATCAAACAGAAAAATTCAGATTAATTTAACAAATTTTATTTGAATTGTTTCCAATAAATACATGATTAAATTTCATTTCAATTTCTTTAAATTCTAATTCATTTAACAAAATGCCACCTCACTATTTTGGAGATCACTCATAACAAGGGGGTGAGTTTCTTGGAACTCCATCGTCAGCTTTTCCACCCCCAATACTTTTCGTTTCTTCCACTGAATTTCAAGAATTCAAGTCTTCCAGATCAAGATTATTCAATTCTTCCCCAATCTTAATTCATATATATATATTATTCTGCTGTCTTTACATCCATTCATTTGTAGGATTCCTTCCGTTTTACGCGATAACACAAACCCTAATTTCTACACTCGATCCAACACTTCCATTCAGTCTAACGCAATGCTTCACAAGAGCTTCAAGCCTGCTAAATGGTAATGATTCTTACATGAATTTATTGTGATTAAAAAATAATATGTTTCTATGAGGATTCACTTTGGATGTTTGATTTGATTGATATACACAGTAAGACGTCGTTGAAACTAGCAATCTCGCGGATCAAATTGATGAAAAATAAGAAAGGAGTACAGATTAATCAGATGAAACGAGATCTATCTCAGTTGCTTGATACAGGCCAAGATCGTACTGCACGTATTCGAGTACGTTACTTCTTTGTCTCATTTTAATTGTTCATCTGAATCACGATAAAGAACCATTGAACTTTTCTATGATTGCTTCTGATTCAATGTATTGATAATTTTTTGTGTGCATGTTTATGTGATTATGAGTGGTGATATTGTACTCTCAACATTGAGATTGCAATATCAACATTGAAATTTGAACAAAAATAGGAATTTGTTTTTGTAATCTCAAGACGAAGGATCGTGTGACAATAGGAATTAAGATGAGAAATGTAAAAAGGGATTTGAACCATTGATCTCATTTGATCCCAGAACAACCCATGAATTGCTCTTTAGCCGGGAATTGATCAGTGTTAATCTAGTAGTTCTCTTCAATTAGGATAACTTTCATTCTCACTGGAACCTAGTAAACGAAGAATCCTTTTGTGTTGATCTAGTGGAAAGAGCGTGTTTTTGTAACTGGGAGGGGCAGGAAAAAATTTCGCTTTCTGCAAAGGGCTCCCTCTATAGGCTTACTGAATAAGCAACTTTCTATATCATTAAAGCCAGTACCAAAGAGTGATATATGGCTGACTGAATAAGCTGTGAGTCCCGTTAAGCTAATTAATCTGCTAACAAACAGGCCCTTGCCCCTTAGTGCATTAAAATTAATCCCCCTTGGCTGTGCTGTCCAGGGCAATCGCCCTAACAGCCCCACCCTAAGGCCGGGCCTGCTCAACGCATAAAGATTCATCGTTTACTGGTGTTGAGCCAAACAAGTGGCTTTTGGGCTTCTCTTCTACTAGCTTGTAGTTTTGACCCTTAACTTGTGACTTGTTTGTTGAATCTATTGATAATTGTTTCATGTGCATGTTTTTGTGGTTATGGGTGGTGATATCATATAGCCTGATTTCCTATATATTGTTTTCTACAATGTTCTATCAGGTTGAACATGTGATTCGGGAAGAAAAGATGGTGGCAGCATATGAGTTGATTGAGATATACTGTGAACTTATTGTATCACGCATGCCCATTATTGAATCCCAAAAGTAAGCCAACTTATTTACTTAGAATGATATTTTCACTTTCCCATCATGAGGGAGATTCATTTAGGAACCTTAAATATTTTAGGGACCCATTAACCACCTATTTTGTGAGTATTCATGATGAATAACATGATAAAATATTCATGATGATTGATGAATGATATTCATCATGAATACTCACGAAATAGGTGGTTCATGGTTCCTAAAATATTTGAGGTTCCTGAATGAACCTACCCATTATGAACATACTAGCCTATTGAGTTTATGGGTGAAAAATATTCGGTGGAAATTTTGTAGAATTTGTCCCATGGACCTGAAGGAAGCAGTCACAAGTGTGATATTTGCAGCTCCTAGATGTTCCGACATATCAGAACTTTCTGATATCCGAAAACATTTCACCAGAAAATATGGGAAAGAGTTCATTTCTGCAGCTACCGAGCTACGTCCTGATTGTGGTGTAAGCCGCTTGGTAAGTTGGCGCTTGCCTACTCCTTAAATATTTGGAAGGTTCTATCAAGGTATAGTTGCATCATGCTTTTTGAAAATAGTATTCATCGTATTTGTTGTAATGTTCTGTTTTCAGTTGGTTGAGAAGTTATCTGCGGTAGCTCCTGACTTGCAGACAAAAATTAAAGTATTAAGTGATGTGGCGAAAGAACACAACATCAAATGGGATCCAACTTCGTTTGAGGAGAAAGAGTCGAAGCCTACAAGCGACTTGTTGGTGAGAGAGCTCTTTGTTAGTATCGTTAGATCGGAAACCTGTTGAAATTTGTATCTTATTTCTCTTTGGACTTGATTAATTTGAGTAGAATGGGCCATCGAGCTTTGAGAAGATCGGCATGACAACTGTTGATCCTCCTAAGACTCAAGCTTCAAATAGCGATGTGGTGCATAGTCGTAAAGAAAAACAGGATGCACCGATTGATTTCGCTCAGCAGAACAGAAAATACACACTCGACACTCGTAATACAACTTCTACAGATAATGTTGGCGTTGAAACATCATCTGCCGCTACTCATGCTGATATGAGGTCTTCAGGTATAATCACTGATCATCATTTAGTTTTCCGTATGTCACAACTTCCACTACAACAAAATTGTGTTATAGGACACCACAATTCTATAATTGTCCCCTAATTGAGTACTTTATAAGACTTAAATTTATAGGACCAAACAAATATGCGTTCTATGTAAGTGCATTGCAATATGTGAAGACGCTTTTGGGCGTCTTAAATAGTTTTCGGGACACTTTTAAAATAAACTGTCATATTAGTTTGTTATATGAAACTTTTGAGAGGTGTCTTATAAACACATCTATTTATAGGACACTTGCCAATAATATCGTATAAATTATTTAATATGACACGTTATTTCAAAAGTGTCCTAAAAATCTATGCAAAAGCGTCCTGTAAACCTCTTGCAATGCTCTTACATAGGATTCTTTTATGTTTGGTCCTATATAAACACATCTTTTTATAGGACATTTTTTCAAATAATGTCACAAATTTTTTAATACAATTCTTTATTTCAAAAGTTTTCTAAAGAACTATTTAAAATGCTCAAAAACGTCCTATAAACCTATTGCAACGCTCTTACATAGGGCACTCATCTGTTTGATCCTATAAATTGAAGTCCTATAAGGTAGTCTCTCAGGACATTTAGAGATTTGTGGCGTCCTTTAAACCCGATTTTATTGTAGTGTTTATACTATGTTCTCAAGTTTGGGAAGCAAAGGTAAGGGAGGGAAAATAATGGAAAGGAAAGATGTCATTTTTACAAATATACCCTTTATATTTGTTTTTCTCACTTTTCCTTGCAAGGGTATTTTTGTTATAAAAGATCACAAACTCATTTCAGAATTTTTTTTCCCTCCCTTTCTTCCCACGTTTGGGAGGAAGGTTTTCGGCGGAAACATAATGAAAGAGAGGTCCCAAATGCAACTATGTTAATGCTTAGGCTCATCTCTGACCTAATCAGGAGTAACTTCTGAGAGGATGGAAATGAGGCAGCCAGTTCCCAGGGGCAACAATGACTTTTCATCAGGTAGGGAGAACTGGAACATGGAATTCAAGGATGCTACTTCTGCAGCACAAGCAGCAGCCGAGTCTGCAGAACGAGCAGCAATGGCTGCTAGAGCTGCTGCGCAATTCTCGAGAGATGAGAAGATTGTCAAGCAGTATCCAACTGGATCACATGTGTCTGACATTAGGGACGAAGCTTCTCGTGTTTCTGCTCCTTCAGGATTTACTGGGGAACATCATTCTCGAGATTTGAATGAAAGCTCCTCTCATGATAGAAAACCTAAGATGCTGAATCAGAAAACAGATCGAAGTGAACATAATACTTCAAAAAAAGCTACTGAAAGATTTGCTGGGGATAGTCATGGTGGTAATTCAAGATCCAGTATGCCAACTTCCTTTAGATCCAATAATGATTCAATTGAGGATGAGAAATTGGTAAACAATTTCCACATGGCAGATGGGTATTTTGAAGAATCCTTGAATCAAGATCAAGATCCTGATCCTGATCCTCCCCATCCGAAAATGACTACTTCGGAAGGATTTGAAGAATCTAAAGCTGAGTTGGCGAGTGGCAAGAAAGATAGTTCAGAATCCGAAGATATTAATTGCTTCGCAGAAGAATCTACTAAAACGCAACCAACCCATGGATCCTCTCATTCTACCAGTGATGAACTTGAAGTGCCTGACCATCAGAAATTTACTAAAAGAAGTGTTGTTGGTAATCCTTTTGCTGCTGTCGGCGAAAGAAACCTTTTTGCGAAAACGAACTCCAATCTTGATTCCGGTAGAGATGATGAAGCTATCTCTGATGATGATGGTGGTGGCCCTAGGTTTGATACGGGATTTGAGGACGATGAAGTATCTCCTACTCGTTCCCTAGAAAATGATCAGATGTGGAACAAGAGCAACACAATTGAGCAGGTAAGTTCTCAATCACCTCTTTTTTCAGAAAGTGTCTCCTTCCCTGACCACTCAGTGAAATATACGGCACCTTTAGAGACGGATGATCACATTCTTGCGAATTTTGATCGTTCGGATGGTCCAGATTCCGAAAGTGAAACAGATCTTTTCTCTACAAATCCTGAACCATTATCTTTGGAGTCTAAGCAAGATTTTAATTCAAGAAAAAACCGAATTGAATTGAATGATTTGGTTGAAAAGGAATCATCTTTTTTCAACCCTGAGGATGAAGAGAAAGACCAAGAATCAGTTGATACATTTGAAGGTGGTAAGAATGATTCCTTAAATCAATCTAATGATTTGGATGCTAGAAAGGAGTTAAACTTTGGAACATTGACCGGCGGTCTTCGAAACAAAGGTGGTCTTAGGTACCCACCGTACACCAAAAGTCCAGTATCTAATGCCTCGGATTTGTACAAGAAGTCGGTTGAGGAAAGTTCTGTAACAGGAGGCGAAACATCTGGTTTAGATTCGGTAATGAATAAGATGGAAGATAAAAGACCAAATTTTTGTGTTTCTATATCAAGTTCTGACTCTGATTCAAATGATTACAAGCTTCCGGTACAGTCTTCTGAGAAAGCAAGCAAGCAAGCAAACACCAGATCACGATATCCGTCTTCTGCTGCATTCTTCGATGATGATGAAGGAACTGATTCTGAGAAGGAGGAAATGGTTTTGAAACAAGCATCGAGTAGGGTTCGTTTGGGTTCAGGGGTTTCTCGAAGGACAAGAGGACCTCCTGCGCCCAAAACAGTAATTTCTAGCTCTAGTGACTACAAGAAGCCCAGTCAGAATTCTTACTCAGATGACGATCTAGATGAGCCCCGTTCCTATGCAAGGCGGTTCGAAGAAGTTGCTAAACAAATTCCTGAATCACGGCAAACGTTTATCCCTGCAAGAAAAACGACAGAAATTGGTAGCACCGCAGCACAAGAAAGGACCAGCAATCGGTCTTATGGTGATGAAATCCCATCTGTGAATTTGAAAGAAGAGGTTGTGGAGACGATCCGAGAGCATAAGATCCCGACTCGCAAACCCGCTCGTTCGATAAACACTGTTGAATCGGGTAAAACCAAGATCACCAGAGGATCTCCTTCGGTTCCTTATTCAAAAAGTCATGTTGATCCCGTACACGAGCCTGAAACGGTTGTCTCCGGTTCGGTTCCTTTCTCAGATGAACCCAGTTCTCCAAGGACGAGTGGTGAATCAGGAGGTACTACCAGTTTAGTTAAGAAAGCAATCCATGTTCATCCGAAGCTTCCTGACTATGACTCGATAGCTGCTCGTTTAGAGTCCCTACGAACAAGTCGCCCGTAAGTACATATACGTTTTCTGTGTAGATAATACATGTAACGTCGTAAACTGCTTGTTTATATATTTGTGTATTGATTTGTTTGTTTATCGTTTGAATAATAGAAAAGGCCGATTTTTATACGAGGTTGTAATACCGGATGGTTTGTAGTAAACCTTTCTTTATGTAGTTGTATTAAGAAGTGCTTGTTTTTTTAGCAGCTTAGCTTAATGAGATTCGCAGCTTATTCTCGGTTAGTTGTAGATGATTGTTTGGTAGTGGCTTTAATAATATAAAAAGTGGTTTATTCAATAAACTTTTAAGAGAGAGTTTTATGCAAAAAAATAAAGTTTTTTTTCAAACTTTTCCTTTCGTCTATACAAAAAACTTTCAAACAAAAACCTTTACAATATGTATGGACATATAATCCACAGACCCCTAAGTTTCGGGCCTATGTAGAAAGATCTAAAATAAATTTAAGGTTCTAAATACGTGAGGCTGGTGAGATCACGACGTTTTTCTAAACGTGATTTATGACTGCAAAGTTGTATATCACATAAACAATTATGTATATACACATGTTTTAGCCAGTAATATTATATAATTTAAATTAAGTTATATGCTTAAAACTAAAAAAGTTATTGAAAAAGGAATAAAAAAATTAATTATCGTGTTACAAAAACTACGCAATAGACCATGATGTGCTACAGGCTTAACATGGTATCAGACACGAGCCTTGAGCTATGACGTGCCACTGACGGTTGTCTTGACGAGCCTTTTAGAACAATGATATTTTTGTGTTCCATATCCATCCAAAGTTTCAACCTTTTGATTTGCAAAGCTACAATGATCGAGCTATGCGGAAAATGCTCAAAGACCTACAACATCACGACCCCAATCGACCACAACCTGATCTTATAAGTTTCAAACCACTTCCAACTTTGTCGTCTCAATGTAGAGCGTAATGGTACTTTAATCAATAAATACATAACAAAGCGACCGATAAAGTAAAAATGTTGAATAACTTCAATAAAAACAGGCTTAAGCATCCTTGAATCTACATTTATCGTGTTGTTGGCTCATCTGGTTTCGCCCTCTTTGCAGCAAACGTTTCTGCAACGAGTAAAGGGAACGCAATTGTTGCATCACAATGCACCTGCTCCAAAACAATGACCATGAATGATTAACATCATAACCATGAAGCCTTTTGCTGAATGATGACAATACAATACAACATATTGCCTCTGGCGTGTAGCTCAGTTGGAAAGGAGTTACATACCTAGTGTCTCGATCATTTGCAAACCTTCTAATTCATACAAACCAAACAATTGAGGTATTTATGGAAAATGATGAGGGTTCATTCATTATAATCGGGATATTTGCAGAAGATGTTAGAGTTCATTCGTTATAATCAACGTTTTGGACTTGGAAACAATTTAGATATTTATGGAACCGGATATACATCAGCCTAGGTGGATGGTTGAGACTAGTTTTTATGAATTAGAAGGTTTGCAAATGATTGGGAATCTTCAGAAGAAGGACCATGTGAGAATAGGAGTTAAGATGAGAAACATAAGAAGGGATTTGGATCTTTGATCACTTTTAATCTCATCCCCATTCTATGAATTGCGCTCCTCACGGGAATTGATCTAGTGCATCTAACTAGGGTTGATCATCAATTAGGATTGATTCAAGGGTGGAGATCCCTTCTCACCCTTCTCATCCTTCTCACCATAACTTCAATTTTCACTGGAACCCAACCTTTCGTCCAACAATTACTATTCTTAGAAAATATTATCGATTTGGGTCCAAACAATGTTATTTTATTTTCACTATTGACTAATAGAGTAATAGTCGAACATTTTTATATAATTAAAGATTATATGGGTTTAAGATACCGAGTAATTATAAAAAATTGTAACATCTACCAAACCAGAAAATACTGCATTTATCCAAATCCATTTTGAATGCATTTATACCCTTGGCTTTTTTATTTCTTTTCTGGATAGAGAGATGTACTAGAAAGAAGTTTTTATCCTAAGCTAGATGTCGGGTATCAATGGGGTACTAAAAAAAGGAGAGGATAAGAAAAAACCTTGACGGATTTAGCAGATCCGCGTATTTTCCCCCATGACACAGCTTCATCAGGACGAGCACCAGAATCACTACCATCGAACTCTTGGGCCGTGTTGATAAAAACAGCGTAATCTGCACCATTACGCATCATATTGGCATTGCAAATGTGATGCTTTGGCAACCCTCCTCCTAGAACGATCATCCCGGTCTTCCTAGGATGTGCATGCACAGCTTCGCTGTTAATCGTCCTGATATCTGTTTTAACAGTTGACAAATCTATTAATACCCAAAAAAAATCTATTAATACCCATAAAATCATATGATAACATCATTACTAAATACCAGTTCATTATGGTCATATATGAAGTGGGAATCAAAGCTTATGATTTTTTTTTTCTTTTTTCTGCCTTTTTTTGGAGGTGGATTTAAAAACTGTACACCCATCTTCTGCTTTATTTTAACTCGTCTCCTTTCTAAGTCCCCACTCGATTTTCTTTTTTTGGCATTTCGTAGAACAGAAGAGATAAAAGAAGAGAAAGGGGGTGAGAAGAGTGAGAAAAAAGAGTCAACCATTAAGCTTGGTTCTTGAGTTACTTCGTGCTAACCCGATAATAGATTAATGCAGAAAGCCATGTTTAAATCATCTAATCAACTTGTTCCCAAAAATCCACTCACTGAACATTGTAAACTTGAAGTTGTTCTTCACTGTTAATTTTGGGAATATATAGTTTAAGCTTGTTTATCAGAAATTTCCATACTGATTTACAGATTTAGGCTATGTTTGGCAAACTAGCTGATAGCCAGATGTTAGCTAAAAAGCTTCGTTGGCTGTTACTTTCTGGCTCATAAACTAGTCATGTTTATTAAAAACTAGTTGATAAGCTAGATGACAATGTAAAATGACCTAAAATGACAAGTTAAAAAATTATTTAAAAAAATACAAGGGGAGTAATTGGAAAAAAGTGGGAAAAGGGCCCTGGAACTTATTGAAACGCTACTTGAAGTGGCTTTTCAAAAAGTGGCTAATTGGACGGGATTTTTCAATAAGCTTAAAAAAAGCCAACTTATGGTTGCCAAACATGGCCTTAATGTTTGACAAGCCATTAGCCATACATTGGTCAAAAAGGTTGAATTGGTATTGATCATTCATAGATGATACCTTGATCAGTTAGTTATGCAAGAAAAAGGTGGTTGTGTTTCTCTATGTTGGTTGACCTTGCAAAATTGTTGAAGGCCTGTTAAAAGCTTCTGAAATTCCTTGTGTCATTGGTGTCTGATGCATATATATATATATATATATATATATATATATATATTGGTTTCAGTGATACGAATGTTATCTAAAAAACACATCTTTTGCAAAATTAGATTAAATCTATTTCAGTTGTCAACTAAAAAAGATTGTTTGCTTGACCAAGAAAGTCAAAATGAGAGGATCTTCTCACCTTGTACTAAGTCAATAACAAGACCAGGGTTGCGAAAGGAATGAAAATATAGCATGTCTCCAAGAGAGCCATCTGTCAAACCAGGGCAGAAGACTGGAATATCATTCTACAATAAAAAGAACAACCATGTTATGGAGTATAAATAAAAAATTATATCAAAAGATACAATAAGTGTTATAAATAAAAAAAGAATAGGTGTTAAAACTATGGAAGAATAAATAAAAACTACAAATTGTGATATACAAGTTTGACATTCAAAATCAAAGGAGATTGTTAAAAGAAATGTGAGAGCAATTTGTGCGAGCACTTGAAATAGAGCTGTATAAGAGATCACCTTATATGCCCAATATAGATATGAACTCTCGTTGTTAATCTCCTTCCCCAAACGTGCTATTACTTTCGACGGCGTCCATAACACATGCTGTTGAACAAAAAGGGAATAGGGTATGAATTTCTATTGCACAACTTGCTCAAAGAAGATGGTTGATGAAAGTTTTGAGATGCCTTAAATCTCAACTGAAAAGTCTCTTCTTTCCATCAAGAGATAACGAGCCATAATTCATTTGAAGTGAAAAACCTTCCATTAAAATTTGACAAAATGGATAATATTGCCGATGCAAAAACAGTAACGCATGACCCATTCTCCCTCATGTCTTTTGATGTGATCTGAATATAAGTCAATGGCTACCAAGAATCTTTCATAATGTGGGCCACTTCGAGTTTAGATATAGTTGTTACATGTTCAAGATGGACGCTAGTAGTTGGTCTGTCATCTAGGGCAACTTATAAACACCATCTATGTATTCTTTTGTGGAGAAACCAGAAATAACAGCTTCTTTCAAGTCCAGCTAGAAGACCCCTATGCAAATACATAGCTTTCAGAAAATTGGTACTCATGGATTAGTGGATTACTAGGAGTTCTTATTTTCAATCTGAGATGTTAAGTGTTGTTGGGAATGAACCTGGATGTTATTTCATGGAGGGAAAAATGCCTCAAAGTTTGGTTTACTTCCTATCAAGTGTAACAAAAGAATCTCGATTAATGTAATAAAGTTTCAAATTTTCCTTTTTTTTTACCCATTTAGACCGGCAACCTGCTGATCTTGGAACATTTGATGACGTAGATATCAAATTTATCATCCACTTCATCGTAACCCTTTTATAAACGGGTATCCAAGTCACAGAATGTTACACGATCAGCATGTTACCGGTCAAAATGGGTGCAAAATAAGAAATTTTTGAACTATGTTACATAGTTGTTACCGGTCAAAATGGTTGATAGTGTTACTAAGTGACCTCTATCGATGTCTATATAAAGTTACGGATATGGACGTATGGTCTTGGCGGGTGGTGCTCAATTTCACCATAAGCCAACCATCTTGGAGATGATTCAGAATCTTTGCAGAGTCGATAAGTTATGAAAATGTAAATCAACAACACCCTCGATGCAAGTAAAATACCTTTGTACTTTGTTCTTCCAACATTTGGTCGAATATTGGTATAACCCAATCCTCAAACTTACAGTAGTTATCATTAGGCACCAACAAGTTACCAATACGATTTAGTCCTTTTGAACGCAAGGCAGCACCAGGTAGAGAAAATTCACCTCTGTATGTGTCTGCAAGGCATTTTATGAGATCTTCCTCAATGCCACCAGCAGTTGTAACAATCACTTCAACCTAGATTTAAATAACAGAAGTTTTAAAGCATCATTACAGATAAGGTAAACCATATTTGAAAATTATTCTAAGGATGCTTAGTAAGCTTGGATTTCATGTAAACTTTTGATTTTCAGAGAACCAGATTGATACATATGTTCATGAGCACAAAGTTATGATTACTAACCATATGATGTTGAAGTAGATACCGAATGATGTCTCGAACACCAGAGGAAATGAGGTTTGAAGTGAACCCCAGGAAGATTTTGCACCTGACCGACTCTCTGTATGTCGGGTTCTTCTCCTCCTCACTGCAATCTTCTGTTACTTGCTCATGAGAAAGCCTCCAATCTAGCTTCAATTATCAAATTTAACTCCTCAAAACCATACAAAACACGTAATTTGGGAAGATTAAAAGAAAGGAATGCTATTTCTTGGTTAAGTGAACAATCAAGTTCCCTTATTAACCTTACAAACTATAAATCAACTGGTAAAATTCAAGAAGAAAAAATCCATCTCAAATAAGTTCAATGAAGAGAACACCAGTTTAACAAACACCGACTATAGAATATGCAACAATATAAGGAGAGGGTTAGAATTTTATTTGTTTCCTATTTGCTTCAGATCATGCAACAATATAAGGAGAGGGTTAGAATTTTATTTGTTTCCTATTTGCTTCAGAGTGAGGAGAGAATCACGATTACAAACCCTAAACAATGCCTATGATATATCACATAAAAATCAAACAGAAATGTCAGTATAACGTCGTGATAGGAGCACTTGCTCCTTGGCTTGCTTCGCGAGGCTGAAGGTGTAGCAACTCGTCTTCTTGAAAATTTAGGTACAGATGCAAATTCTGATGCAAATGTATCCGATTTTAGGCCAATAAAGTTCCCAATTAATTTCAGACTCCACAGCAAAGCATAGAAAAAGTCAAGAAGAGGAAAACAATACATTCCAAATATTCTGTTAAAAAAAGCAGGACCGAGAGCAAACTACTTACCATTTGATTAACGGTTTCAATGGCATCACCAAGATTAGAAGCTTGGAAGCCGGTGGAGACTAGGGATTTAAGAAGCTCTGAATAATTAATCCCCTGATTGAAATCGTAGCCCTGGATTTTAGTGCAAGTGCCTTCTAAACTCTCTGATTCCTTGAATACCACTGACCTCACATCCTCAATCACCTTTGTTTCTTTCATGGCTTCCCCCATATCTGCAATGCTCAATGATTTGGTGCAGATAAATAAGAGGGTATGTAAGATTTAGTGCATAATAAAAATTGGTTGTTTGGTACAAACTTTGAATTGGAAGTCTGCATGACAAGATTATTATATTAACTCTCTGTAGGCTTCAGTGAAGAACCAAAGCAATATCAAAGCACACTAACAATATGCAACATTTGTTGATCAATTTAAAAAATTTACAACCAGTAACACCAAAATCTCTCACTGGGAACTTTTATCAAACACTTGGTGATCATAAGAAAACAAAGAAATATTACACAAAAAATCAATGACAAGTAGTGTAATCGAAGAAATTTAACAAAGTTTCAGAATCTGAAGTCTACAACAAACAATATGAGGGGAAGGATTCAGACCTCGTCGCTAACTTCTTCACGGTGAGTTTCCTTCAATACCCAACTGCCTCCCCTTCCTCGACTGCTATCCCTGTATGTTACCAGGCGTTAAAGCCTTCTCAAACACCCCTTTCCCTTAGCAACCGCTTTCGTTTAATCTGTTGTGCAGAAAATAAAAATAAAAACAGCGAAAACTATTACTACCAAGAAATCGAATGGTATGGTTATGTCCTGCTAAAGTAGTGATTCAGACGCCGCTTGAACGATTTATCAAACAGAATTTGGGTGTCTGCCTCTGAATAGTTTCATTCAGATGTAAACAAACAGCCCTCCCTCTCGGCGCCTCACAGAGTCACAATCTCCCGCTTCGGCTGCTGCTGCTGTCGTCTAACGCTACCATAAATGTTTGTAAACTTTTTTATTTTCACTTTTGCCCCTTAACTTTAAGTAATTGAATTTTTAGTGTGATCTTATAATTGTGTTCAATTGAATCAGAAACTTCTATGGTTGGGGTAGGGGTGTTCAAAAACCCGACCAACCCGATCAATTCAACCCAACCCAATGTGAAATAACTTAACCCGAAGCAATCTGATATCTAATCAAGTTGTAAATTTGTTAAACCGTAGGTATTGGGTTGATATTGTGTTACTATTATTTGAACTCAACCAAACCCGATGAACCCGATATCCTTTTATTTATTGAATTTAATATGGTTGTTGAATTTCTATTAATATATACATTAGACAATTACACTATCATATATGTTTTTCATATACACATATTTTCAATCTATTCATAGATATGTTCAGTAACTGTGAACATATATATATGTAAATTGAGAAAATTAACTGAATGTGATATGCGTAAAAAATATGAATAAGTTGTATCAAATGGTTAATGATGAAAGAGAAATTATGAGTAGAGAAATAACATATTCAATGTTAGAATAATATTTTTATATACAAAAGTATCAACCCGAGCAACCCGTACAGGTTGGGTTGGGTTGGTTGCACTTTGTTTTGAGTTGGGTTGGGTTAAAAATTTTCCAAATCGCAAGCATTGGGTTGAGTTGTTCAAATGTCTTCAACCCGATCAACCCAACCTATTAGTACCCCTAGTTGGGGGTATATTTAGTGTTGTCGAAATAATTTTGAAACGGAATAACTAATCCCAATCAAAACGGTTTCGGGTTTCCATTTTCAACTTAAACGGTTAAGTTAACTGAATAAATATAACATATTTGGTTCGTTTTTCAGTTAAGTTTTTATTGTTTTGGTTAAAACGACACATTATACTACTATTTATGTATTTTTTATATAGTTTCCACTTAAACCAAATAAGCCCGTTACACATTAAAACAAAATTCGACTGGTTCATAACGAAGAACAAACAATTAAACCAGTTTATAATAAAAACGAGTTGCCAATTTGCGTTAAACCAATTTGTAACAAACCTCGTAAACACAATGTAGCAAGAAATTAGAGGGCAAAAAGGCAAAAAAATTATATTCAGTTAGAAAAAATCATGATTAAAAGACAAAGCAGCAGCAAAACCTAAATCAAAATAACGAACCCAAATTAAGTATCAAATTCAGTAACTGTAAATCAAAACCCAGTTAACAAATAGAATACTAAATCATAAGTGGATAAAAACTAGTTTATCTGAACCAAAAATCAGTATAAGAAATCGAAAACAAGAAGCGTTGTAGTATAGGTAAGTTACTATTTTTATATACTCCACAAACATCAGTTTCAACAGTAAATTCCAATCATTGGAGTCATAAGCAAACTCATTAAGACTAACCAGTTAAGTTTCCTAATGAGAAATTGTTCTTAGCAAGCAACAAATTTATGGAGCATTTCAATTAAATGCACGTTTATTCCACATGTAGCTAAACAAGGAGGAGACCTTATAAACCAGATTTATCAAAAATTTTAAAAATAATTTTTAATGTACAAAGTATTATACATTTATGCACAAAGTCTTAAAAACAACTTATAGTGCATTAAGTACTACTACTTTATGCATTCAATTTTAAAATATCTTATTCTACAATTAAAATGACATATAGTACAAGTTACCAATGCACCATTATTATCTTTTCTTTTCATATTTCCAAGATATTTTTGACACATTTCATTCATGTCTTCACCTTCTTATACCTCTATGTCTTCTCCTCATTTCCCAATATGAGATTCAAATTGATATTCACCATGAGTTATTAAAAGTTATTTCTTTCAATTGCTCCAAAACTCTTGCTCTCGATCTATTGATTCCTTGCTTTTGGTGTTAATTGAACACATTTATGGAGTCGTTTAAATATGTTGAATTTTAAATATATTGGATTTTAAACTGTCGTACAAAATTTTTCATCGATAGACTGTAATTGAAACCATAACTCTTATTTCAGATTGTATTAATATGTAAAGATTAATTGTAACTTATATCATTGTTAAATCTTTTATAATAAAACCAGTGAAAATTTAAAATCATTAAAATTCACGATTCCCGTCATTTTACACGGATATACAACGAGTATAATGTATAAACTCTTCCTAATAATAGTTTTTATCTTTTTCTTAAAAAACCTCCAATCGTACGATTTGTTTAAAATTGTTTATTCATATCCTATAAGTGACTGACACGTGGATAAATTGACGTATGATATTACTTGTTTGACATTTACCAAAAAAGGGAACCAGCACTCCACCACGTGGCGAAACTTGACTGACTCCGTATCAGACCAAAGACGTCGAATCTTCTCTCCGTTTTCACTTCACACCGCCACAGAGAAATTGTGCCCGCTTTGAACTGTATTTTCCTACGTGTGAGCGACACAGAAAGTAGCCGATGGATTTGTTACCGGCGGAGACGTCATCGGAGATTGTAAAGAAGCACAGATTTAGGTCACTGAAAATGGTAGACTTGAATTACGATGAAGTTTTGTCGGATGTTCCGTACGGAGCGGACCACGGTAAACTCGACAATGGACTCCGTTACTACGTCCGATTGAATTCAAAGCCTAAAATGAGAGCTGCCTTGGCACTCGCCGTGAATGTCGGGTAACACATTTCTCATAATAATCGTGTGAATATTTGCTTTCATCAGCCTAAAATCTACTGATTATAGTTTAATTTTTATTTTAAATGCAATTTCTGTTTGTATTTTTTATAGTGATTGTTGCGTTTTTGAATGATTTAAGCCCTTTGTTGTTAATTACTCTTGTGCCAAGCAATTTTACTGTAGAATTTGTAAGGTTTTCAGCATAACGTTGTCGTGTTGCCGATTGATTTCTTGTTGTATTAGTTTTAGTTTGTATCCAGTAATATTTGGATTTTGGTCATACATTTGTTGGAACACTTGTGCCTTAATTGCATGTGTTCCTTCTAATCGTCCTGAATCGCGATGTGCTGTAACCTAATTTCTAATTACTGATTTTTTTTCCTTTTGTCATCTGAAAGATGTGCTTGATTTATATGGTTGTTGCTAAAATGAGTGAATCTGACCGCTTTTTGTTGTTGGTTTTATCTGGTGGATTATTAGGTGTCAGGTTTTGTTCTACTTTGGAACTTGTATGAATTTGAAGCCAAGATCGCTAATTATAGTTGAAAGTACTTGTAATGCTTGATATTGTACTTCATGCACTTGAATTTTGATGCTATTATACTTTTTTTTTGGTCAAATCAAAGATGCTATTTTATAAATTAATGCATTGGCTAGAAAAGTGATGAGGATGGCAGTTAGCAGATTGGTTCTGTTGGTTGATGTACGCAGCTGTCAATTAAATTGGTCATGGGTCTTGAAATTTTACAGGGCATTAAATCAGGGAAAAGATGCAAATCACATGCACTTGTCACTTATGACTCAAAAAGACTGCTCAAAAAACCGTTCTAATTTCCTGTTATTTACGATCCTAAATATTGTCTACACTTCTAGCACTTAAAAATTCATGCATTTTATGCAATTTCAAGAAATGCAATAGGGATTGCTTTAGACATCACATGATGCGTTTGATATTTTACTTTATTGTGATGAGTTGTCACCGACAATGCTGCTCTACTCTTTGGGGTAGAGGTCATATCTGTATACATCTCACCCCTCCCTTACTCTACTTCCGAGTGGGATTTACCGGGTTTGGTTTCGTTTCGTTTTTATTCTGCCAATCTGCCGTAGCTGTTCTGCAGAGACGGCAGTGAATTAGGTTTTGCACACTGGTTTGTTGGAACTTGTTAATTTTTACTTTTATATTTCCAAAAGAGGACCTGTAACTTATTCTTATAATGTACACGTCATGGGCAAATGAGGTGTGAGTTTCTAGTAGGAATCTTTGGATAAATGTTAGCTGTTGGCACGAGTTTTTCTGTGTCAACCATCAGTTGTATTTAGATCCTCTGCATCATGCTTTCTTCTTAAATTATTTAATTAGCTGAGTATCTTAATATATGACAGCTCAGTCCTGGAAGATGAAGAAGAGCGGGGAGTTGCTCACATAGTTGAGCATCTTGCTTTCAGTGCCACTAAGAAATACACAAATCATGATATCGTCAAATTTCTTGAAAGCATTGGAGCAGAGTTCGGTGCTTGTCAGAATGCAGTTACATCAGCAGATGAAACTGTTTATGAATTGTTTGTTCCCATTGACAAGCCTGGGCTTTTATCTCAAGCCATTTCGGTCTTGGCAGAATTTAGTTCAGAGGTAAGAACAAATATTGGCGATGTTGATCATTGCTCTCTACTTCCAGACTTTTTCATATTCTTTGTGCATGCAGATTCGAGTATCAGCAGAGGATTTGGATAAGGAAAGAGGTGCCGTTATGGAAGAGTATAGAGCAAACAGAAATGCCAATGGCAGGATGCAGGAAGCACATTGGCTTTTGATGATGGAAGGTTCAAAGGTCTGTGATATCAACTGAAAAGAATCTCTGAACATTCCTTGTGGTTGCTCCTCTTCCCTCGTCATCTCATTTATCTGCGTTCATAGTTTGTTTTTGTGTGTAAAGAAGCTTCGCTGTAGCACGCATCAATGCAGGCAGGCAGTTATTGACATTTTCATATTTTAATCATATAATAGCATGCACTCTGATCTAAATCTTTTCCTCATAACATTAGTTTGTTTTTTGTTTTCTTTTTTCTTCGACCGGTGGACAAACCTCACTATGGTAGGCACTGAAGCACACCCATTAACAGTCTCTCATGTGCACAAACACACTTGGACGTGCCGAGACACACACACACGCACATATTTAGGGAGAGAGATCAAGAGAGTATTTTTCCGTGTATATGCATTGTTTTTCTGCCATCTCTTTCAGAATTAATTTACTTCTTAAACATGTTGGTTACTGCTGGGAGTTCTAGTAATGCTTAGATACATGGTGGTGATTGGTCATAGTCACATGTATATTTTTCATGGTTTAATTGCCGTTTTTGGTTCATTTTCTCAAAATGTTCCTTTTCAAATTTCATTTATTAATCGTAGTATGCCGAGCGCTTACCAATTGGATTGGAGAAGGTGATCCGGACAGTTTCTCCTGAGATTGTGAAGCGATTCTATACAAAATGGTACCATTTGCAGAATATGGCCATTATTGCTGTTGGAGACTTTTCTGATACAAAGGTTGGAATGATAAGTACTTGCCTATCGTAAATGAGAAACAAAAAGCCATATTTGTTGGCAATCCCTTTCAATTAGAGCCATGTGTTATTAACGGTTCATTTTTTTCCCCCTTTATCTTCCACAGAGTGTTGTTGAATTAATAAAGACGCACTTTGGTAGTAAAGTTTCAGCGACTGATTACCTGGAGACACCTAGATTTCTAGTCCCATCTCACGAGGAGCCTCGTATATCGTGTTTTGTGGAGTCTGAAGCTGCTGGGGTTAGTGTTCTACAGTCTCCAATGTAATAATTCTGTATAGAACTAATAGAGTATGTTTGTTGGTGTACTTGCATCCCATGCACATTTTACGTAATAAATTTTTTGTTGTTACAGTCAGTAGTCATGATCAGCTGCAAGTCACCAGTGGATGAGCTGAGAACTGTGAAGGATTACAGGAATTTACTTGTAGAAGCCATGTTTTACCATGCCATGAACCAGCGGTTCTTTAAAATATCACGCAAGAAGGATCCACCTTACTTTTCATGCTCTGTTGCTGCAGATGTGGTTGTACAGCCAATCAAGGCCTATATAATGACTTCATCTTGTAAAGAAAAAGGGATTCTTAATGCCTTGGAATCGATGCTCACAGAGGTTCAATTTCCATCTTTACCATCGAGTGTGATTTTTTTCCATTCACTGATATTTTCTTTCAGATTGCTAGGGTTCGGCTACATGGGTTTTCTGAGCGAGAAACATCCGTTGCACGGGCATTGATGATGTCTGAAATTGAATCTGCATATTTGGAGCGCGATCAAGTGCAGTCAACCAGTTTGCGTGAGGAATATTTGCATGTATACCAGCAGTGCCTTTGTATCATTATCTTCATAATTTGATTAGGCCTTTACTTTGTCTAATTCCTTGGTTTTCTACTTTTAGCATTTCCTTCGTAATGAACCTGTTGTTGGAATTGAGTATGAGGCACAACTTCAGAAAACTATTTTACCTCGTAAGTCGTTAATTTCATTAATTTATAGTTCTACTCTTGAGTATATTTGCTATAAAGTTGTAGTGCTTAACTATAAATCGTGGCTTTACTTTTTGACGTGGTAGACATATCTGCATCTGAGGTATCCAAGTATTCAGAGAATTTTCGCACTACACGTAGTTGCGTCATAAAGGCAATTGAACCTCGAGCTGTTGCAACGGTGGACGATCTCAAAGCTGCTGTGTTAAAGATAAATTCATTTGAGGAAGACGGAAATATTTCCCCTTGGGATGAAGACCACATCCCAGAAGAGATTGTTACTTTAAAGCCAAACCCTGGGTAAATTCCTCATCATGCAACTGCATCATCTGATATCATTTCTGCAAGTCATTGTATCCTTACTGATGTCCCTTTTGGATGATTATACTACACAATTGTTTGTTCTGCAAATATCACAAAGGGACGTCATTTCATCTCGATCCTTGTACCAACTGATACTACGTATACGTGTATTTTTATTCTTTAAAGCCGGTATGTGCCTTTGTTTAGCTTTTTTCCTTTGATGCAGTATGATAGACAGTACAAATAGGAAATAGCCTGGGGTCTTTTTCCTGTATATAATGAAATAGTTATATATTGGAGTCTCTGTTTGCAGTAGGTTCTTGTTGTGTTCTCATGAAGATATGGTTTGCTTGTTAAGATATAACCACTCAATAAAATGTACCAATATGGCAATATCAGAGTGTTCCCTTTTGTCTTGCTGTATACCATTCTAGGTAATAGTATGTAGTTTTAAACCTAAACTAGCCACGTCTGGTCCTGAAATCTTATAAACTCATTCAAAGCTAGGCTTACCTACAAAATTTAGAGTCCATTAACAACTGTCATCTTCATATTTCAGAGGATAAAAATAGGCATAACCTTGATGGCTTTTCCTTTCTTTGAAGTGAAAAGGAACTTTAATAATACTTGCCACAGTTACAGCCTTACAAGGAGCTAACTCTGACCTTGAATAAACTTTGTTCCTCTTCTTGGTGATATGTGGCATTTTCAGGATTTAAAGAGATGAAGGGGTAACTGGAATCTCTCTTATTGAGCCTTAGAGCTGCAAAAGAGTTGCTCAATGCTTCTGTTGTGCTCCCTTTCTGATTCACAACACATCTGAAATTGCAATATTCTTTAAGGCCATTAGACTTTGGAAAATGCTAACACACTAATCTTGCACCTGATCTCGTGTAAACAGTAAAATCCATAGATTTGAGATGCTTTGAATGCAAGATACTGTTGCATCTGAGCCTTACAACCGCTACATTGTATATCTTGCATAATGTTTCTCGTCATATTTTGCAAGTAGCATTGTAGTGCACTTGGTTCTAATTTCTGTTTGTCTCTCCGTATCGACATTCTATGGTAACTTAGGGGCCGTTTACCAATACTTACTTGGGTATGTGCTTACCAACAAAATTCAAAGCTATCAATTACTTACCGGGTAAGATATTAGTCCACCAAAACGGTATCGTATGCAACAATTAACCCGGTAATTGCTAACCGTGGTAAGAGTCGTCGTTGTCACTTACCGGGTAAGACTCTCAGTCTTTGCCTTAGTTCTTACTGGGTAGAATTCTTGGTCCTTGCAATGTTGATTCGGTAAGGTAATGTGACTTGGTAAGCCTTACCCGAATAAGCGTTTGGTAAACGGCCCCTTAACATCTGTCATATTTTTTCTATTGCAGGACTCTAGTGCAGGAGTCTGAATATTCCAATATTGGAGCCACTGAGCTGATTCTGTCAAATGGAATCCGTGTCTGCTATAAGTGCACAGACTTCCTCGAAGACCAGGTTTGTTTTCATGCACCCAAGATTGGTTATAAAACTTATTATCTGCACATTTGTACAGTATTAGGATCTGACGGTGGACTCACCTTGTCAGTATGATTGTCTAATGTTCTAATTACCACAAGAAGCTGAAAGCTTACCAGTAGGAGTAGGGACATAGGGAACTTATTGATGGAGATGGTGAGTGAGTGGATTTTGCTAGAAACTTATACTTGGCACATAAATTGTGACATGCCTTCCACATGATAAATATAGACATGATATAAGTAGTAAACTCTACATGATTACGTTTCAGCATGGTATAACTGCAAGCATTAGGGTTGATGTAGTACATTATTTATTTTGGATGTGTTAGTCAGCCAGATCAGTGGTTTCTTCTGGTGTTTGGACCAGGCTTGGTTCAAGGGGGTTACAAGAAATTAAGGGAGCATGTGCTTTGGTGGGATTAACTTCCATAATTTCACATTGATCGGATATATACAAGGATATATGTTGGGTTTACAATGAAGATCGGAACTTAAGTGGGGGAGCACAGTGAGATTCCACTGTTATGATCCAACATCAGAAGCGTGGGTGAAAATGTATTATAGGGACTCCTAACCCTGCATGATGTGGTGACTCATTCATGTTATTATGGTCTTCTGATATGTCACATGGATTTCACACTTGAGTAGAATGAAACCACTCGGGTGGGTGGAGGGATTTTTAAAAAGCTTTTTTCTTATTTTTTCTCCAAAATTCCCAAAAATGCGCTAATTGGTATTTATGTCGAGACATGATGTTGAAGCTGGAACTAGTAGATGTAGTAAAGTCGCAAAAGACAACGTGGAGAAATTAATGCAATCATACATTTTGTGGTTTTAGAGCTTGTATCCTTTAATGTTGCATCTAGCTTATTCATTATAAATATTACTTGTATACTGAGATTGATTGTAGCTTTATCTTAGCTCTGATAAACAAAACTTTATGATGGTTATCAATATTTCTAGAGTTAAGTAGAGTCATGTATTTAAAGGGTAGATGCCACCACCTGGAGCGCCCTCACTGTACTGGTCCCACGGCCATCACGGGGGAGGTAAATCACTGTGAGTCAGCAGTATGTGGTGGGGCCTGGGTTTGAACCTGTGACCTTCTTTATGGATGCCCACCATTCTACCGCCAAGGCAAAACGTGGGGACAGAGTCATGTGCTTAAGCTTCCAAGGTACTGATATTTATAGCTAAATGCTATTCGTTGTCACTTTCTTCAAGTGACACATATTGGTCAGAGTTGCGGCATGTTTGCTGTGTTTACTTTTGTCCATCGACTGACACGTAGTTGTATTTAACTCTTAAAACATAAGTGACTGTCCTTCTAGCTCTATTTGGTCTTCATTGCTACATACAATATCAAAAAATAAAATATATTTCCAGAAGCCTATAAATTAATGAAATGATAGTTGAATAAGTGGTTATTTTCATTTATATGACGGTTTATCAGTTTCTGCCAGAAAATTTCTGTTAGTGCTTGCAAAGTTCTTTTTGATTTGCCTCTTGCTACTAGAGCATCATGACCACTTGTTCCAAATCTCTATGAGCCACTGACTAATTCTAATCTTTGGATCTTTATAGAAAAGATATCATGAAATTCATACAAGTCCATGCTTTTATAAGCATTGTATGCATTTTAGCTTGCAGCCAAATTTATACTGCTGATTGATGACTTGGAACAATCTGATATGAAAATCTGTTAAGAGCATGCTAAAAGCTGGTTTGTTATCTTCATCATCAGCACCAAAAATTGCTTTATGATCCAAATTTCTTCGCTTGGAATATAACACAGCTGGAAATGTCAGAATGTTATAGAAGGAGAGACCGACTCCAAATTTTCTCATATATCCTCTTATGGAGATCATTTTAGTGATCTCTTTCAGTTGTGAGGCCATGTATCCCTTGTCGAGGTACTTGACAACATAGACTTGACTTAAACCAACAAATCTACATTCTAAGTGTCTTCTCCAGTGAGTTATTGGGCTAGATGCCACCAGATGTTCTCCTCCCATCATTTATACTCTTGGGCTAGATGCCACATGGCTTTCCCTTTGCATCTTTTATTCTTTGAAGTATCACCCAAGATATTCTTTGTGTGCGCATAGGATGATGATGTATTGTGTTAATTGATTTAATAATTTATTTTCCCATGGTAAGCTACCCGTGGAGTTTAGGATCTCAATTCTAGCTGCCAAAGGCTGAATTTGCATGTTGACACTTGCTCCAGTTGTTTTGGGATGCAGTTGATGTTGTGAATTAGGCAGTTCTTTGGTCTTATTGTTGGCACCACCACAAAACTAGTGGTTGCCTTGTTGGGGCTACAGTTAGATCTTATAAGCCTTGCCAAGGGGGCCGTCCTTTTGAATATTGACTTTTGAGCGAGTACATCACAAGTCCGAATAAAAGCCTGTTAATTGCCTCGTAAAGTTATGACAGTTTGAATGATTAGATCTGGGTTTTTGTCCAAGATGCGGTTTATGTTATTGATAAGATATGTTCTGCTTGAACAGGTTTTGTTTACAGGCTATGCATATGGGGGTTTATCTGAACTTCCAGAAAGTGAATACATCTCATGTTCAATGGGTTCCACTGTCGCTGGAGAAATTGGTGTATTTGGTTATAGACCGTCAGTGCTGCTGGATATGCTTGCTGGTAAGAGAGCTGAAATCGGTACAAAGCTTGGAGCATATATGAGAACTTTCTATGGTGACTGTTCACCTTCGGACTTGGAAACTGCCTTGCAGGTTTGTTCTAATAAATACCCATGCTGCTAATCAGTTACTCTCCTTGGATATTGATATTATCATTTTGTGTCATAGAGCCCATGCAAATATGAAATGGAAGTAAATGCACTGATTTCTAATTACTTCAGAATCTTGATAAGGTTCATGCAGTCTCACCCACCCAACCCCCACAAAAAAATATTGCTAAGCTGTTTGTGAAATTGTGACAAATAGTTTAAGATCTTGACAACATGCACTATGTGATGTGGCAACCTTTCACCCAAAGACATTCATTCCATGAAGTCTGGGTGGTTTTAATTTTTAGTTTATTCAAAGTTGATATCTTTTAGCACTTAATGGTGAGGTTGGTGGGAGCAAGAGATCTCAATCTTGTAGTTGATTGTCATAATTTTATAAATATGCGAAGAAGATTTCTCATTACTCAAGGCCTGAAGCAGCAGACAAGTTAAATGATAAAATTATTACTAATTACTGGCAGTAGAAAGTAAATTCGAGTGTTCAATTTGCTGTAATAAATATTATATGGCCATTTCCTCGAAGAGTAATCACAAACAAAACTTCTTGCTTTTGTATTTCTGTATATTGTTTTTTTGTCATCATCGCCAGGCCTCAAACAATTTTGGCTAATATTTTGAACATCAATAAATTTTTGGCTAATATTTTTAACACAAGAGTTTTGGCTAATATATTGAATCTTCTTCATGTTTCTTGCTAGCTGGTCTATCAACTTTTTGCAACAGTCGTAGTACCAGGGGAAGAGGACATCAAGATTGTGATGCAAATGTCTGAAGAGTCCATTAATGCTCAGGAAAGAGACCCATATACTGTCTTTGCAAACCGTGTGAGGGAGCTTAATTATGGGAATTCCTACTTTTTCAGGGTAAGCCTGATCGTTGTTAATATTTTGGTTTGCCAAGTACATCTAATGATCATTTCTTCTCCCACAGCCAACAAGAATCAGTGACCTTCGAAAAGTTGATCCATTTAAAGCCTGTGAATATTACAACAAATGTTTCAAGGACCCATCAACTTTCACTGTGGTGATCGTTGGGAATATTGATCCTGCTATTGCTAGGCCCTTGATATTACAATATTTGGTGAGTTGAATTGCATTTGTATTCTAACTTTGATTTGGAACTTGGAAAGTGACCATGTGAATTGTGAAATGAGTACTCGACTTCCTATGCAGGGTGGAATTCCAAGACCATCTGAACCAATTTTACAATACAACCGTGATGACCTCAAAGGCTTGCCATTTACTTTCCCCACGACCATAATTAGGTTTGTACATGTTTTTCCTATAGCTGAATTAATCTAATATGAACTATTTTCTTCATGCTCAAAAAAGTTTATAACAACAAAATGTCCATTTAATACATGGTGTTGCTTGTAGAGAAGTTGTTCGCAGTCCCATGGTGGAAGCACAGTGCTCTGTTCAGCTATGCTTCCCTGTCGAGTTAAAGAATGAAAAAATGGTGTGTGTGCCTTGTTGATCCTGCAATAAGATATATGCTTATGAGAAGCATATGACTTCTCTAATTGACTACTGTAAATTACTTTCCATGATAGATGGAGGACATTCACTTCATTGGGTTTTTGAGCAAGCTCTTGGAAGCTAAAATAATTCAGGTTCTGCGATTCAAGCATGGACAGGTTTGTTTTTATGTTTCATGTTTGAACTTTGTTGGCCTAAACTCATTCCCATCTTTTTTGTGCTCTAATGCTGTCTGCCTACCAGATCTACTCTGCTGGCGTTTCTGTGTTTCTTGGTGGTAACAAACCTTCACGAGTTGGTAATGCTCGTGGTGATATTAGTGTAAACTTTTCTTGCGATCCAGGTGTAGCTCTAGCACTGGTATGTTCATTGACTTCTCTGCTCTTAAAAATGGTTGTGAACTTTTCCCCCTCATCGTGCAACTTTTCCTGCAGGTTGATCTTGCTTTAGATGAGATATTGCGTCTTCAGGAGGAAGGACCTTCAGATGCAGATATTTCAACAGTACTTGAGATTGAACAGCGAGCCCATGAAAATGGATTACAGGTGATTCCAATTGAAATGGTGTCCGTTATTCCATTTCAGAAGAAAAAGCATATGAACTGTTTTTTGGTCAACCAGATTTATCTGACTTAGGGACTGTTTGGTTGGTTTTTTATTCAGTCCTGTATGGATAAAACTGTCTGTGTGGATTAATCTGTCTTTATAGATTGGAAAGTTTTTGTTTGAGTGAGTTTTTTCATAGATGGAAGGAGCATGTTTTTTAATTGGGAGGGGCAAGTTTGGGAGAAAAGCATTAGCCCCCCCTAGAAGCATACTGAATAAGCCACTTTCAATTTCATTAAGCCACCACCAAACAGTCATGTATAGCTGACCAAGTAAACTGTGAGTCCCATTAAGCTCATTAAGCTGCTAACAAACAGGCCCTTAATACTTTATGGACAAAACTGATGCCTTCATTGAACTCAAGAACAAATTCCACAAACAATCACTTCCTTTCATCTGTAGGAAAATCTGTAGTCATTTTTAGAAAAGTCATAGGTTTCATCTTAAAAGTGAAACAGGCCTTCGGGAGTGGATCATCTGGTCGTTTTTGGTTACCTTTCAAAAGTAGATCAAAGGAAAATGGAAGAGGATGAACTAGGTTATTTGTTTTAAACCTAAGCGATCATGGATTCTACAACATGTGCTTGTCTACCAGAAAAATAATTTTGGTTATGTGAATATATGCCTCAAATCTCTCCGGTGCTAATAAATGTGGTTGTTCAGGAGAATTACTGGTGGCTTGATCGGATATTGCTTGGCTATCAATCTAGGATCTATTCTGGGGATGTTGGTACTTCCTTTGCGGTGAGTATTGTGTTCACAGCGTTCATTTCATGTTGCTTACTTGCTTTGTGCTTCAAAAAATTCCTCCTTGTTTAGCTACATGTGGAATAAGCGTGCATTTAATTGAAATGCTCCATAAATTTGTTGCTTGATAAGAAAGGTTTCTCATTAGGAAACTTAACTGGTTAGTCTTAATGAGTTTGCTTATGACTCCAATAGTTGGAATTGACTGTTGAAACTGATGCTTGTGGAGTATATAACAAAAGTAACTTACCTAATATGACTTTGAGTCTGGCAAAGCCTCGTTAAGCAAACAAGCAATCAAGCATTATCTCTCTTGTCTCCAATGTTCCGTAACAACATGCACTCGAACTTTCTAGTTTTTATGTAATTGCCTATCTCATCTTCTGTTTACAACGTTTGTTTGGTCTCAAATCACGAATGAAGGGGTTGTTCTCCAGATTATAGAAGACGTAAATGATGTGCATTAATTCTTCTATCGTGGGTTTATTGTCACAGACATGTACATGGCAAGATTTATGTTTATAATACGGTCTTTAAGAAACAAATGTGTCCCTGATCTTATCTTAATTTAATTTCAAGCCCAGTTGATGTAAAAATAGTGTATCTCTGCCCGTGTTTTGTTTTGAATGAGTTTTTAGTTACAAATGCAATATTTATTGCACATTACTCCACTCTTCTAGAAAACAAGTCCATTTTTTTATTGATTCAGCTTTTCATTTCAATTTGTTAATATACATTTCCTTTTATCTCCAGAGTTTTTGTAGCCTACTATTCTTTATATAGTTCTATCCTACCTTGACCAGTTTGAAATCAAGACTTTGTTGGCCTCAATGTTAGCTATGGTGATTGCTTGTTTCAACCTTTGACTGAATTTAGCATCGATTGTGGACTCTAACCCGTCGTTACAAGTTCACAATCACAATCATTTCACTTCAGTAAAGATAGGTTATTTACAGAAGTCAAAAAATAGTAAGCTTCTTTTCAGTAATACTTGGAGTTGGTGATTTTTTTTAATTCAGGTTCAAGACGACAGTCGCTCAGATGTTAGGAAAACCTTGACACCAGTGACAGCTCAGCTAGCCCTGCAGAGGATTATACCTTTCCCTTGCAAAAGACAGTACACAGTAGTAATTCTGATGCCTCAGGCTTCTCGTCTTAGAATGCTAAAGTCCATCGTGGCTGATCCAAAGGTCAGTTATAAAAATGTTGCTGAATTTTGTATCTACTCTGTTTTTTTCATCTACTGAAAAATGATGAACGTAGGTTATATTGAAGAAGATTTTATACCATGCAATTAATACTCATCGAATCCATCCAGAAACAAAGAGGGTTTAATTGGTGATGGTCAAAGTGATGTAAATTCTTAAAATTTACATGAGATGTTTCATTAATGCTAACACAAAACTACCTATAAATGCTACAAATTTAAAAATATTGGGTTAAGATCTAAGCAGACTTGGGGGATGTTTGGTTGGTTTTCCATTAAGTCTTGTATGGATAAAGCTGTTTGTGTGGATTAATCTGTCGTATAAGGGAAGGTTTTTGTTTGGCGTTCTCTTTTTCATATATGGGAGGAGGTGTTTTTTAATTGGAATGGACTTGTTTGGAAAAAACTTGGTTTTCTGCATAAAGCTCGCCCTAGAAACTTATTGAACAAGTCATTTTCTATATCATTAAGCCACTACCAAATAGTCATGTATAGCCGACTGAATAAGCTGTAAGTTCCATTAAGCTGCTAACAAAACACGCCCTTAGAGCATCTCCGACATTCTCCACAATGGAGATTTTGGAGATTTTTGGCACAAAAAAAAAAAATTGCTCCAACAGATTCTCGAAAACTTTTATAACAAACTAATCATTTTGTGGTTGCAGGTTCAAGCTGGATTTGCTGGCCTGATAATTTTGGGTTTCTGCGTTTGGAGATATTCACGCAATTCATCGAAATCGTAAAGTCCATGTTCGAGTACTTGCAAGAACCTTGAAATTTTGAACGGGAATAGCTCATTTGTTTCCAGGTGATGGATACAAAATACATGGCGATATATGAGGCGCCTTCTAGAGGAGATGCATGTATTCTAGTATTTCCTCTAGCTTATCCCCTTGTGCTTGGAGATATTTAAATCTCAGAAGTTGAAGCTAACTGTGTGCTGTTTTGGTCTATTTGTTCTTTGTAAATTATATTCATTGTTATCACCACAAAAGCAATGTAGTCCGAATGTTTCACACCTTGTGACATTGTTGAATTGCTGAAACCCGTTGCGGACCCATGATTTTTGGATGAAATGTCTGTAAAGTCGTCCGATGTGTTTTTAGCCAAATTCCACTGTCTCAAGAGATTCTTTAAGTTTTTTGGTTGATTTCGAGAGATTTTCTAAGTTTTTTTTGGCTAATTTCTAAGGATTTTTTTAAAGTTTTTTTGATTGATTTCAGGATTTTTTTTATATATTTTTTGGTTGATTTTGAAAGATTTCTTGAGTTTCTTATTTATTTCAATGGACACTTTCAGTTTTTGTGGTTAATTTCGAGACTTTTTCGGTTGATTTCAAGAGATTTATTCGGTTTTTTAGTTGATATTCCTTGTGTCTCCTTAAATTTAACGGGTAACTTTGAAAAAACTCAACTACTATAAAAATTAATTTAAAAAAACTATAAACGGGAGGTCGCTTGAACATTATAAACATCAAACCTGAATATCCAACCTGTTATACAAGTCGACTAATCTCAGAGTAACAACCAGCTTTGTGGATGGTTCGGAGTCACCGTATTTGAACCTCCATGGCCACAAAGGGGTTTTTATTTCTTCTTGGATTTGAACCTGAGACCTCCAGACACTTTTGACTCTTGTAGCTCAAGCTCAAACCAATCAGACACCACCCTTGTAGTTAACATATTCATTTTTATGTTTTTAGTGTTGGGCTGAAAATGCTCTAAAACATCAAAGTATACGAACTTTTGTATTTTTATCTTCTTTAAATCTGAACAGATAAGCTTACTGATCTCTTCAAACGAGAGATGAACGTCTTTCCTATATTTTATTTGGCAACTTTAGTAATCATTTCTAGACATTTTAATTGTGTGCATAATTCATGATTGAGTTTATGGTTTTGAAGCATCTTATGGTTTCTCATATTTGTGTTTCTAACGTGTGTCATCTCACAACTGTTTTGGTCCCTTCTTTTAATATCCGTTAACTTTTTTTTCGTTAATTCCAATAAAATGAGGGGTATTTTAGTCATTTCAAACATTTTTTCTCATTTTCTATTAAAATTAAATAGTAGATCATGTATTATGGAAACCATATCCAAAAAGATCTTTGATTAAAATAACTAAAATGCCATTTGATTGAAATTAACCAAAAAAGTTAACGGACGTTAAGAGAAGGGACCAAAGCCATTGTGAAATGGCAAACGTGAAAGACCAAATCCGAATATTTGAAGCTTAGGAACAATATCCGTTGAAACTGACAAACATCAGGGACCAAAAGTAAAGTCTACTCTATTTTTTGTATGTGAAAAAGTTGGTCAAAAAGTTTATTTTCATCATTCAAAAAAGTTGTAACGATAAAAAATGTAACATTGTATCTAACCAATATCAAATCTCGTTACCTCTTAGTAACCCTTGAAGCATGTAATTGTTATAAAATTTGCATTTATTTTGGAATATGATAATATAATTTATTTTATATAACAACAGATTTTATTAGTGGTAAAATATATGTTTAAAGTTGGGTTTCAGTGAGAATAAAAGTCATGGTGAGAAAGTGAGAGAGCAGCTCCACATAGAATATTGGGAGCTTTGAATCGTAGGAGAAGATGGATTTGTTGTGCGTCAACTTGAGGAAGACGTATATGTGAATCGTTGCCTTGGAACTTGGAAGACGTATGTTAAAGCGGCCAATCTTGGGGAACAGAAACCCTGACTTTAGTTCATCATCGGTACCTACAACATACTCTTGTCCAGTAGTTCATCACTGGTACCTACAATATACGCTTGTCATGTAGTTCATCAATGGTACCTACAACATTCAACGTATGGATGAACATAACATCAAGCTACATAGTCTTCGAATGCTGAAAGTCATATTTCAACCATAACTGGTGTTTGAAATTACTCACATGTAGCCTAAAAAGCATGAAACTGATGTGCCGGAGACAGAGAGTACCCCTATTTCTTCTTTTGATAATTGTGGAGTATGAATTGCTATTTACGTGAACTGGTTGATGAGAGCAAATGAACGTGTGAGATAATGCAGGGGAGTGCGGGAAGTGGAAGAAAAAGAGATAACGAGGGGTGGGGTGGGGTTTTCATGCAGTTTCAACAATAACCCCTTTTTTACGTCCCCATGCCCTCTGTGTGGCGACATGGGGGCGAAAAAAAGAGAGGGATGGGGGTTCTCTCCGATTAAGGTGCTTATATATCTATACTATATTATAAAGTATTTGAGAAAAACTCTTAAAAACCATTTTTATATACGAAATACTATTTATTGATGCATATTACTTAAAATTCACGGTTACAAGTAAATTGTGTATATGTACAACTTATTGAAGCTTCATGCTTGAATTCGTGTAACTAACTGCAGATAAACATAATCAAATACAGGATAAACATTTCATTTATAATATAAAATATCTAAATATAATTAGGATAATTATTGTTTTCTAACAGAATACTTAATTATTATCTTTATATAAATCTATACTATATTATAAAACATTTGAGAAAAACTCTTAAAAACCATTTTTTATACATGAAGTACTGTTTATTGATGCATATTACTTAAAATTCACGATTACAAATAAATTGTGCATAAGTACAACTTATTAAAGCTCCATGTTTGAATTCGTGTAACTAACTGCAGATAAACATTTTATTTTAAATATAAAAGATTTAAATACAATTGGGATAACCATTGTGTTCTAACATAATACTTAATTATTATTTAAAAAAAAATTATATTATTAAATCAAATATAAATTACCTTATTATCAAATCTAAATTAAATTATAATAAAAAATTGAATTAAAGAAATTATATAAAAAACAAGAACTTTTAAATAGTTAATTCGATACTAATATTGATATATTTTTTCTAAATTTTATAATATATCTTCAAATTCATACTTTATTCAAAAGCAAAAGATTTATCGTTTATCAAAACCACATAAAACCGTATTATAATATTAACAAGAGACTATATAAAACAAAACATTAAAATCGAGATATATCTTGTTGTATTGCTCGAATATCCTTCTAATAATATAGATATTGATAGATAATATATAATATGTAATACCTCTTAAAATTCAAAATAACAACCGTAACTCTTTTTTTTAATAATAAAAAATAGACTTCAATTCTAACAAGGTTTATATGCATTAGTTAAAAACCGACGTCGTTTGGAATTTATTGGGCTCACTTCATGGGCTTACAGTTTACAAACATAGATTTGGGCCGTTGGCCTGTTCTTTGACCCAATAGCTTCTGGTTTAAGCCCATAAAAATAAGCAAACCCTAACCCTTCACCACTGTGGTTTTTATTGCCCCTCATCTCTTCATTTCTGCGCCTCTGGTTTCATCTTCTCTACTCCAGCTTCCAAATCTCAGGTTCCTTCTCCATCTCTCTGCAATCATCTTTCTTTTGTTACGTTGTTTGAAGAATTAATGATGCTTTTGTAATGGAAGTTCGACTGATTTTGTTTCGTTTGATTATTTGTGTAGGTAAGGTTTAGGTACAAGAGTAAAAATGGTGGAGAAAACGAAAGGAAGAAAAGAAGAGGTGGTTACTAGGGAGTATACCATCAACCTCCACAAACGCCTCCATGGATGGTACATACTGTTCATTATCTATATGATTTGATGTTTGTTTCACTTGTTTTCTCTATGCTAAATTGTGTTGCATTCATTATCTGCAAAAGTTTATTATTGATCTTTGCCAACAGCTTTTTATATGGGATCCAATTGTGTTTATGTAGGTTATTTATTGATCGGATTGGTTTTATAGGAGATTTAGTTGTTTGTTTACAAAACGATAGCATGTATGAGTAATCTTTACCGGTGCTTATTCTTTTGGGCCATTTTTGTGTTCTTTTGCAAGTTCTTGGAGGGAATAAGGATTGGATTGTTGTTTTACTTGATACAAGTAGTGACCAACAAAATATAGAAGTGGAGAATGCGGTTGAACTAATTGAACATATGAAGCTAGACTCTCTTTTGCTGGTTTTTATATTTACAGTTTTGATATTTACCGGAACAATTTAGTCCATTGGAGTGCACATTTTGCATCTTTTTGCTGTGCAAAGCTTGTGTTTTAAGGCATTAGGAAGTCTTCTAAGGTTGAATGTCTGAGAGCTTCATGTAGGCATTCAAGAAAGTTTTCCATGTTTAGCAAAATCAAACTTTCCCATTGGACTAAGGGGCTGTTTGGTTGATTTCCATTAAGTTCTGTATGGATGAAGTTGTCTGTGTGTATTAATCTGTGTACAGATTGAGAAAGTTTTTGTTTTTTTGGGGGGGGGTATCATAGATGGAAGTACCTTGTTTTTTATTTGAAAAAAGAACTTAGAAGCATACTGAACAAGTCAGTTTCTATATCATTAAGCCACTACCAAACAGTCATATATAACTGACTGAATTAGCTGCGAATCCCTTTAAGCCTATTAATTAAGCTGCTAACAAACAGGACCTAAATCATGCAGCTTCTCTAAGTTCCATCATTGATCTCTACAAACCGAAAAGTTTGTTGTTTTGGGCTTTTATTATAGTTGTTACTAAACCAGTGGAGTTTATGCATATTTTTTGCAATATTCTGCTCATTGAACATCTGTAGGTTTAGCAATGCAAAGTCCATATGTTCTCGAGACTTTTTGGCATCAAACAAACCCCAGATATGTACAATATTCTTAAAGTTTGATTCGTGTTCATCTCAACAGCACATTCAAGAAGAAGGCACCCAAGGCCATTAAGGAAATCAGAAAATTCGCACAGAAGACCATGGGTACCACCGATGTTAGAGTGGATGTGAAGCTCAACAAGTATGTTTGGAGCCGAGGGATCAGAAGTGTCCCAAGGAGAGTTAGGGTTCGCATTGCCCGCAAGAGGAACGATGATGAAGATGCTAAGGAAGAACTGTACTCGCTCGTGACTGTTGCAGAGATCCCAGCGGAAGGGCTGAAGGGGCTTGGCACAAAGATCATCGATGACGAAGAATGATTCATTAAAAATCCAACCTTTTTGAAATACCCGGCAGAGTTTAGTTTCTTATCCTTGGTATCTTTCTTCGGATTCTAGTATTTACATTTTCCTTTAATATAACCTTTGATGTTTTCAGTTTGATGGATTAAGATTCTTGTTCGCCTACTGCTCTTCAAAGTAATTTATGTGGTTCTGAAATTGTGCTTCAAGATTGTATTGAAATGAATCTTGAAAATATCTCTAGTAAGCCTGAACCTCGACGAGACCTGGTCTTAAAAGCTCGGTTAGGCTAACTATTTTTTCAAGGCCCGGTTCAAGTCTGGTTGAAAGCTTGAACCGGTCCTTGTGTGTGTTTGGTAACTACACAACACATAACAGGGTGAAACAACTTTTGAGCGTTTGTTAAGATAAAAACGTTCAAACCATGAACCAGACCAAGTTGTGCGGTTTGACTATTTTTCAGTTCGCTCAATCTGTCAAAACGATTCGGTTCAACTTGGTTTTACTTCTATTGGTTTGAGCGGTTCAACGGTTTTTTGAACATCCCTATATAATTAAATATATGATTAGAAAGTGTCAAAACGATTAAAAAATGACTTAAAAAGGAAAGGTTTATGAACGTTTTCAATTTTTACTTTATATATTTTTTATATTATTTTTTATTACTTAATATTTAATACATTATGTAAATTAATTAAAATGTAAAAACTGTAAAAAAAATAATATTTTTAGAATAGTAAAATAAAAGTTTAAAAAACATAAAAAAAAATATTTTTTACAAATAAAATTAAAAAAATAATAAAATAAAGTCATATTTGATGTTTTAAAAAAATATGTTTTATTTTGAGGTTATATTGACAAAATATATGTATGTTCCATCATTTTCCACCTTGTTCCATGGGTGGGGTTTGAACACGCCAGTTCCACTTTGTTCCATATAAAAATTTTACAAAACGTGAAACAATGATCCTTGTTCTTTTATTTTATGTTTTGTTCGGTATACCAAATGCACCCTAAAGTTTTGTTTGCCCCATGCTCGAAAATGTTGTTTTTGTTGGTATACTAAAATTGAGCTTCAAAGGCCTTATGCATCTCTACTCTACTCTAAAAAGTAGGGTGGCTCCGCTTCTGTGAAGATAAGAAGTTGATGAAAAATGTACAGAAACGATAAACTAAACAATGTCGACATAAATAGAAATAAGTACAAGGAAAACACATAACAAAGCTTTGAAAACTACAAGCCAATGGCTTAACTTATGGAAAAGGAAATCAAGAATACAATTTTTCTACCATTTTATGTAGTTCCGTAAAAAGTTGTTCGATAGACAATCCATGATATAGTTTAAAATGAAATATAATTATCTGTTTACAATGAAATTAGGGCATTGAATGGTTAAGGGAGGCCTAAGATACAAAATCATTCAGAGAGTTTTGGAACCATTATCTTTTTTTGCCAAACAAGATTCACCTCTTAACGATTCAGATCCTGCCTCTTAATGAAACTATTAAGAGGTAAACAAACAACCCCTTATAAACATTTACATCCCGATGAATACGGACATATGACGCACTCTTAGTAATTCTCCGGATGAAAATAAGGGTATCCATACAAGTTACATAGACAAAATGGTTTGTAATAACTTTGTTCATCTACAATCCCTTAAAATAATCAATGAACTACAACCATAATCACCCATAACTCTCACTTTGTGTCTTCCAAATACAAGCACATCAACCAAAAACTTCATTTTTCTTGAATCTAACACAACATTTTGCAACTTTGTTTCTCATGGGGTTGATGAATTCAAAGATCTAAGCATTGTCCCACAAGAGACAGACCTCATATATGGGATTCTAAGACAACTCAAACTACCACCAGGAATCATAGAACACTCAGGCTCAGGCCTCTGCATTTGCCTTCCTGGTATACAATTCAATGCAAAATCAAAACCCACATTCCTACCATACAATTTAGCACATTCTTGACTAAACCCAGAAAAGAAGTTGTATGCAACACTCAAATTCATCAAAGATTTCAACCCGCAAACCAAATCTGGCAACTCACCAGACAACTTGTTGTGTGCCACATTCAAGACTTCAATGTCTTCCAAACAAGAAACAGACTCAGGCAAATGACCCATTAATGAGTTGAAACTTGCATCAAAGACTTGTAAATCCGACCACAATCCGATTCCTTGCGGTATGCAACCGGTTAATTGGTTGTTCAAGAACAGGATTTCTTTCAATCCTGAACTAGAATACCCCAAGCTGATTGGGATGTCACCTGTCAGCTTGTTATTGGCTAGATTGATGACTGAAGCAGGGGAATTGCCTAAGCTTTGCGGGATTCGGCCTTCGAATTTGTTGTTGTTGAGAAGAATTGCATCAAGATTCTTGGTGAATAGAAGTTCTGGAATGGGTCCTGAAAAAAGATTGAATCTGAGGTCTAGATAGACAAGATTTGGGAGTTGGAGGATGGTGGTTGGAAAAGATCCAGATAATTGGTTATTACTGAGGTCAAGTTCAGAAAGGGCAAAAAGGTCTCTTAACCCATCTGGGATTGTGCCGGTGAACCTATTGCTGTTGAGATGGAGGAGAGACATGTCTGTAAGAAGGGAAAGTTCTTTGACAAGAATACCCTCAAGACCACCATGGTTAAGATCTATCCCAGCAACTACTGTTTCAGATGAATCTTCTGAACAGAATACTCCTTTATAATCACACACATTTGACCCGACCCATGAGCTCAAGATCCCATTCGGGTCATCTTTCATGGCTGACTTCCATGCTTGGAGGGCAATGTAAGCATTGTTGAGATTTGAAGAAGATGATAATGGAGTTAATAAGTTTCTGGCGTTCGCCCCACCACGGCCACCACCTCGACCGCCGTCAACCGCCACTAGAAAGAGTAAAGAAAGCAAAAAAAGCTTGCATTTTCCCTCCATTTCTTGGGTTGTCAAGAAATGGAGGTGGTGGTGGTGGATCTTAATGGGGTTGTTCTTGGAGTTGGGTGTGTGTTTATACAGAATTTAATGGAAAAACGATAATGGGTTGGTACAGAATTAAATGAGTGTGTTTGAATCTTCCCCAAAATTCCTTTAGGTTTATAGATTTCCACTATTGTCAACTTTGACCTTTGCTCCAATGGGTAATGATTACAATAATCAAACTTTAATCGCAAATTGCATGAAAAAGTAACGTATTTTAACTTTATTTCTATTTTTAAAAATTTCATAACCGGTTGAAGCATTATCCGGTTAACATGTGGATGTGACGAGTGATGTGATATTCGGTTAATGCTTTAGCAAATAATACAGAATTAAATACCACATCACTCACCACTTCAACAAATATCTAAAATACGATATGAAACACTAAAAGGATGTGCAAGTAGACATTGTACTGTATGGATTGCAGCTATTCTCCATGCTCTAAATGCACTTGAGTGGGAGTTGCCTCCCACACTGTTATCTGGGTGGGTACTCATTAAAATCCTATCGAAAAATAAAAATTAAAAACACCAAAATTCGTTAATATTTGGTTTACTGATAATCGTTTTCATTGTTCTAATTAAGGAAAAACAATATAATACGGAATTCTAACGGTTTTTATCATTACAGATTAGGACTTAGGGTATGATATTCGAACAAAACATTTGTATATAGAAACGGGTTTCAGGCCCAAGTGCCAAACGTGAGCGTTAGTAGCGCATCCAGTTGGGAAAAAGATGCATTGACATGTAAATGTAATTACAAAAAAGGGTTCGTGTCCAAGTGTTGAATGTGAACCTTATCTGATAGAGAAAAAGATTCATTGTATTTACAAAACCCAGTACCCTTAATTTACTGATACGTTACGTTTATTTATTAATTAGTACCATCTTCTAATCTTGGTTTTCGGTTTCGGTTTTATAATCTTGAATTATACATCCAGTTTTGTAGCAAGCATTTAGGTGAACCCAATTTAAGGGAAGGCAGGTGAAGAATAGGTGGGGTTCGAGGCACATGGCTTAATAGTTTAAGCACCAATGACTTAATAACCAACATTTTGTCTTTATGTATAGTTATGACTTGAAAAGTCTCGTACGTTGAAAATAATTGCACTCAAAACGCTCTATCAAAAAACAATAGGACCGAATAAAAAATTGGCCACCCGGGTTGAACGTGCATTGATTGTACAGAAAAAAGTTGGAATTTATGAGTTTAAGAAGCGTACCGCTATCTATTTAAATTAGATTTAATAAAGGAGATGTTTATCTTAAAGCGTTATATTACGAGCAAAATGAGTACGAACCATCGTTCGATTAAAAATGTTAATGATTATTTCTCAAAATACATTTCTTTATGAACAATCACAAATAATATAACTTACAACACATTGATAATTTCTGAATGGTTTAATTAAAGGAGTATTGTAACTCTCGTTTAAATGAATTAAAGTAATACAAAAAACATAGCCTTACTATTTTGCTTCAAATCATTAATTACATAGGAATCTATGAACCAGATACTTGATTGATTCTTATTAGTCTAGAGATTTTGTGTGGTTAACATAAATGAATTGGTTAACAATGTATTCACACCTATACACACACATACAGGCGAAAGATTGTATGAAAAAAAAAAAAGTTATAGTGAAAAGTGTAAGAAGATATCTGAATCATTGATCACTTTTTAATCTTATGTCCACCCATGAATTGTGGTTAAAAAGAAAATTGATCCGGTGTATTTCGGTGCACCTCATTAGTGTTAACATTCAATTATGATTGATCCAATGGTGAATATCTCTTCTTCTACTTAACCTCCTTTCTTACCACACACACACACACACACACACACACACACACATATATATATATAGGTGGAGGTTCAAACGAGAACACCACCATTTTACGAGAATGCGAGAACATCTTTATCACATGTGATAATACGCATGAGGGGACCCTGTGATGTGCGGATGATTGTGTTCTACGACCTAGGTTGTGCCAAAGGTTGTCTGCGTCTATGAAATAGCATCACATGTGATGGTGTTGTTGGATTATAGTATCATATCAACAACACTCTTATCACATGTGATAATACTTATGAGTGAGCTTAGTGGTGTAAAGGCAACTTGACCCGCAAACAAGATCGCATCGAAAATTGTTCGCGTCTCTGATTTAGTATCACATCTATATCATATGTGATGGAATAATAGTATCACATGTGATTGTCTATAGTAAAAGGTGTTCTCGTTTGAACACTTCCATATATATATATATATATATAAAATACGAGTTGACTCATATCCAAGCTCGAGCCAAATTCGAAATTCGCGTTACCTCTATGGGTTGGGCTTAATGGAGTAGATAGTTGTTCTAGGCTTGTAATGTAGGGTAATATTATGGGCTGAGCTTTATGGGCACGGCCCATTGTTTTATAGGCTTCTGAATACATGTATGGGCTAAATTTGTTGGGCCCAGTGTGATTCATGTACGGATTAGACTAAAGGGGTAAATAGGTAATTGTCGTTTTTTTACAAATTTTGACGGTTTTTACATTTCAGAAATATCACGTAAAAGCAACAAACGTAATAAAATGCAATACAACCAATTGCAAAAATATAGAGTTCGAGTATAAGATTTTACAAAAATAAGGAAAAAAAATACAATTAAAATTTTGGAAAGTAGAGGGAAAACATGGTTGGACGATTTTATCCCTGGCTTTAACGGACATTTTTTAACGGTGTTAATGGTCATATTCCACTTTCAAAGCAAAATGCATACATGGAGGATGAAAACTGGACTTATTGAAACCCTGAAAACCCGTCTTGAGAGTTGATTCGGTAGCATAATTTAATTGTAATGCTTAATGGGGCGTAAAAACAAATCTATACAGTGTAGAACAGTCTCATATCTTACTCAAGTTGATATGTTGATACCAACATTATAGCGTATTGCTTAAGTCTAAAACCACTTATCTCGACAAACAGGTAAAAATTGTCTAAATAACTTTTGCCTGATATCACTCACAAACATATTTGGAGAAACCAAAGAGCCTTTGGCCTAGCGGTATCATAGCCCTTGGCATTTTAGGAGATCAGGGGTTCAAACCTCACCATAGGTGAAGAGGGTGTGTGAGTTTATTTGTTGCATTTGCCGTATATAAATATTATATACTTCAAAAAAAAAATTGGAGAAAGTGTTCGAAGATTGGAGTTCTACATAAAAAATGAAATCTTAAATTGCAGAAGAGAACATGCAAACGTCTGTAAATCAATTTTGAAGGTAGGATAAACACACGATTCTGTCAATGAAAATTGGGATCACTTGGAATTACTTGTTTACACAGAGCACGAAATGATCCTCGAGATTTTTCGACTGAAAACTTCTTCATGTCTAGTCTTTTTAACAAACTTCTCGATGGTCATATTCCGAACTTCCAGTATGCATACGGTATACAAATTTATAATTTAAACAAAATAAACTCGTTAGTACAGAAAGCGATTGTGAAATTATCAAAAGATACAACAAATACATGTATGATGTCAATACAAACAGAACTCGTCGTTGTTTTATATCAGTTACTTATTTTATCACCTTTGAAAATTTCATCTGCGTAAAAAAACCGAACTTGAAGGGGGGAGAGAGAGAGAGAGAAATGATTTATTTTAATCAATCTCATGAATAGGATTGAATTTTTATCATTAATTTATATAAAGTTTTTTAAAAAGTGTATGGAGATGATAAAATTAAAGAATATTATAATAATATATTTTATGTTTAAATCTTTAAAATAAATGAATCTGTTGGAGTTGAATGTAATTGGTTTTTAGATTTTAACTTTTAAGGGTCATTTGGTTTGGGGAATTCGAAGAAATTTGATAGAATTGGAATGACAAATTTCTTTGACCAAATTTCAATAATTCGTTCGGTTCATTTCTTGGAATCCTTCAAATTTCATTGAATTCCACAAATTAATGAATTCATCACTCATTGACGGATGCCGAGTCCACCAAATAATAAATTCCAACTAACGACTAATTACAACCAAAATTGTAGTAGTGTAAGTCGGGTCGAATCCACAGAGACTCGGTCTAACGTTATACGACTAGCGAATCAAGTACACGATGAAAACGTAAAAAAAACTAATAATCACGAAGGGGGGGGGGGTTGGATTTGATTAATTACTCTAAAAATGCGATAAAATATAAACTAAAACAATTGATTAAAGTCCCAACATCGATTTAATACCGGTTAAGATGTTAGTGCCTATCATCGATTCCAAAAATGTAAACGAAAAGGACAAGCCCGAATTGGCTTTAATCGTTAACAAGCTCTAACGACCCACATTTTCCATAGATAATCGTTGATTAAAATAAGCTCTCTAATCAATCGTTAACCACAAATACAAGTTTAAATAAGCTCTTAAACTCGTAGGTACGACTAGCTTTACCGGACTAGAAAAAAGTACGAATTCAAAGCCATAAGCTCATAAGCTCGGCTTATCGAGGCTCTGATCGCAAGATTTCAAATATTCAATCCGGAAACCTTATCGAAACCAAATGAATACTAACGTTACTCTATCAAACTCTAAGACGATTACGTATTTAAGCATTTTGAATAACCATTCCATAAAAGATTTTCAATCGGTTAGCTAAACTAATTAAAAACCCAAATAGGATTAACATTAAGTTCAGAAATCAAGCAAATAAGCTTGTTCAAACATGTTTACAATGAAATCTCAAAGCAATAACAAATCAAAACCTAATTAAATCAATGTTGGAATGAAAAAAATTAGCAAAACATAGCTAAACTAGGTTGCCGATTCTAAAGGTTTTAGGACTTACCGAAAGAATCAATAAAGATTGATGAGAAAGATTTTCGTCTTCACTCTCGCATCCGTCTTCTCCAATGGAACCCACTGTTGTCTCCTTCTCGCGTCCGACTTCTTCAATCGGACAACCCTTTTCTTCTCCCGTCCTTCCTTCTCTCCAATTGAACAGTCTGTTGTCCGCTTCCTCTCGAACAACCATTTTCCTGTCGAACAGCCCTCTTCTCTCGAACAGCCCCTGCTTCTACAGCCCCCAAAATCCATCGAACCAACCCCTCTCGTCTCTCCCTCAATCGCGCCCCACGTCTTCTCCGAATCAAACCCACGACTTCTCCCGCTCAAACCCCACGAACTTGCTCCCTCTCGCCCACGAACTGTTGCCGTCTCCTCCCTCTCACGTCTTTGCTTCTGGCTGATCCAAAATTGGGAGAGAATATGAGTTTTATTTGGGCTTGATGAAGTCCACAAAACATAGGTCACAAGTTGGGCTTATGCTTTTCTTTTTGGGCTGGACTCTACAAACAAAAAAACATAGGTTTAGTAAATACATTTATTCACACAATGATGTAAATAAAAGGCTTTTTAACTTTAATTTTTTAACCAAGAAAATATAGCTATCATTCATTGACATAATGGAAGGAATTAAATTTCATTACCACTCACCACGTCCATGCTACTATTGTTCGTCATGCCCCACCCTTAACCCATCACACCACTGTTGTCGCCGCCACCCACCCCCACCAACCACTAACACCATGCCACTACTGTTGTCATCACACCCACCCACGCTCTTCACTTACTACATGTCCCTACTACGACCATACCACTAACGTTACTGTCATGCCCCTAACCTGACCACCACCACCACACCATTATTGTCATAGTTACAACTGCCACTCACCCCACCCCATCCTACCCCAACCCGCCACTAACCACCATGTCACTTTTGTCGTAGTCATACCCACCCGCACCTCAACCTAACCCACCACTAAACACCATGTCACTATTGTTATCGTCATACCCACCCACTCCCAAGCCCCAGCCACCCGACCATTATCCCACCACTATCATCGTCACACCTATCACCCTGCTACCTACCCCTACATACCCTATCGTCCCACCTTGCTCTATCTTACCCTACTCCAACCCACCATTAACCACCATCCTACCACTGTAATCGGTCACCCTGCCATCCACTGTCCCACTCTAGCCCCACCCTGCCTGCCCCCAATAACCCCCATCTATGGAGCAGGGATGGGGCAGGAGTGGTGAGGAGGGGTTGGGATGGTGGGCCGGATTTTATTTTAGTAGGGGTGGGACAGGGTAACTGTGACGACGACAGCAGTGACATGGTGGTTGGTAGGGTATGGGCGGGGCGATGAGTGTGATAGTCTAAACAAAGACGATTGTTCTAATTCTTTTAAAATATTTCATTCCAATTCATGCCAACCAAACGCATGGTCAAATTCCATTCTAATTCCTTCGAAATCAATTCCTTTGAAGATTCCAATTCCATCAAATTTCATTTTGTGAACTAAACATTCTCTTAATTCTTTCTTTTATAGAAATGTGTTAGAGATACTTTAATAATTATAATTTAAAAAATATGCAATAATTAACACATATTCAAGTTGAAAAACATGTGGGGCCAAAACCATACTTTATTTTAGGGAATGGATAATCAATTAAATCTCAATTATTCAGGCTCCTTTTTCATTTCACACTTAAAACATGGTCTCCATGACACCATTCAAATAATCTATTTTACAAAAAAAAAAAAAAAGTTGTATGTTTTTTAATTATATTATATGAAATATATATTAAGGGATAATATTTTTTAATGGGAATCATATATTATATTATAAGTTTTACAAATTAAAACAACAAAAATGTTTTAAAATGACAAAATTCCGTACAAATTTTCACTTGAATAGAATTATTTTCCAAACATTATTCGACACAATATTCAATCATCTCTTTCATAATCGCTTTTACCCAATAAGTCGTTAAATTGAAAATATTAGCATATAGGAGTGTACCAACTGTTGTTTACCTCAAGTTATCGAAAAACTCTAGCTCGATTCTGAGGTTGAATTCTCCATTGTTTCTAAAGAGGTGTTTGTGGTCTGGTTTGGACGGTTTAACCTCCCCCAAACTGCAATGGCGGTTTACTAAATTTTGCAAACCGAACAGTTTGGTTAGTAAGTGACCAAACCGTTCAAACGGACCACAAAATAACGGTCTGGTCTGGCCGGTTTAGGCGGTTTGGACCTCTTATGGGCTTTAAACTAAAAAAACATAACATCTATATTCAGAAGGAAATTTTTACCAAATATAACTAATATATGTTTATTTTTTGACGGTTGGTTCGGTCCAGACCGCTTAAAAAACATTCAAACCGTAAATCAGACTAGACCAAGCAGTTTGACTATTTTTCAGACTGGACCGGACCACCAGACAACTCAAACCGCCAAAAACGGTCTGATTTGACTTGATTCGGCTGATTTGAGTTGTTCAACGGTTTTTTGAACACCTCTAACGATTAGTAAGAAACAAGTAATGACAGGAGAGTTGTGTTGTGCGCACTGGTTAAACTTTAGGACGATGTAATGGAAAATCTCATATACCCAAGGTTCGAATCTAGACGCTGTCAAAATCCTTATAATTTTTAATTTAAAAAAGGAATTTAGGATGAGGTTCTTCTACAAAATTCGAAGGGTTCTTTTCACATTTATTGTTTATAGAATATATTCATTTTAAAATATATAAAAACGAGACTTTTTTGACAATTAGTTTAAGAAAACACTTGAATTATTAATTTATTCATTATTTAATAATATAAAACTTATCTTATTATAAAATATATAATATAATAAAACTAGAAGGGTACTCGTGCAATGCATCGTGACATATTTTGATCTTAATATTTTGTTTTGTTCTTTATCTATGTCAGTATAATACGGTTTTATGTAGTTTTGCAAAAGCGATATTGTTTTTATTTTTGAATAAAATATAAATTTTAAAATATCATAAATTTTGAAAAAAAATATGGATATTAGTATCAAGTTAACTATTTAAAAGTTTTTGTTTTGTATAATTTATTTAATTCAAATTTTTTTTATTATAATTTAATTTAACGTAACTAATTAATTTAGTTTAAGTTTAATAGTATAATTTTTTATAAGGATAATAATTAAGTATTATGTTAGAACTCTATAATTATCTTATTTATATTTTATATTTTTTATATTTAAAATGAAATGTTTATCTTCAGTTAGTTACACGAATATGACGCTTTAATAAGTTGTACTTATGCACAATTTACTTGTAATATTGAATTTTAAGTAATATGCATCAATAAACAGTATTTCGTACATAAACGATATTTTTAAGATTTTTTGTCAAATGTTTTATAATATAGTATAGATAGGGAATGAATAAAAAATTAATTTTTTGCTAGACAAATTATGAAAGGTCGTAAAATTTTATCTGAATGTTTGAATTGAAAACCCAAATAAGATATATAGATTTGGAGTCTTTTGACCCTTTAAATCCTGATAAGAAAATAGAGTAGGAAAGTTTGAAAGATAATCAGATATGGTTTGTCTTTTCAATTTATAAAACCTGATATCTTAGAATGTATCTGTCTATTATTTTGATTCAGTTTTAATTATTCAGTGACATATTTTGTAAAGTATTATTCATGAATGGACTTTAGTGCTTTCCAAACAATTTTTTTGCATTATGATCAACTTCCATTTTCAAGTACGACAGCGACGTATTTTCCGAAATGTAGTCGACATCTCTTTACCGATATATATCTGATCATCTTCTAACTTTTTGAATGTTTAATCAGATAACCCTTGATTCGTCTATTTACTTCTCTTTTAACTGATTAGATTTCATTCAGTTATAATCAAATTTAATTACTGAATTCACTCATTCAGTTGGATATCTCTAATGTCGCTACAATCTTGCCTTTTTTCCATTTGGTTTTCTCTTCGTATGACCTCTGGTTTTTTAGGGTCGTTGTCGCTTGTTAACTGGCTTTTTTTCTCTTCGAAATCGCACCTCGCATAATTCTTTTCTTTAATCTAATAGCTTTTAAAAAATATTAATAATTTTTTATTAAAATAAAAAATAATTAATATTTTATTTGTTTTGATTGGATAAGTCAAAAGACGTGATGGAAGGATAAGAAATAAAAGGGGAGGGAATGCGACATTTGTGTAGAAGACACGTAGAAGAAAATATCTTTTATTATTTTTGGTTTATTTATTACTAAATTTTAACCATTTTTTTAATGTAAATATATATATATTTTATTTTTATTATATATTATATCATCATATTAATTTGTTTTATTAATTGAAAAACTTTATTAATTGTCTTTTTATTGATTAAAAATTGTATCAGTTACACATTCTTAAAATCTGTGTTATATTATTAAAGTCCGGAACCGAACTGGTATGTCAACGAAGACGTTGGAATCCCAAAAGGGTGAATTGTAAGATCTCATATTCACATTGATTGAAGAGGGAGACAAAAGTTGTCTTAGGTGCCGTTTACCCAATTGCTTATCCGGTAAGTGATTATCGATATGAGTCAACACTATGATTTATTTTGATGCATAAGATTTTAGTATATCAAAACATATCGAATGCAACAATTTAGTGGATAAGCACTTACATGGGTAAGATTCGTCATCCTCACTTACCGGGTAAGATTCTCCATCATTCTAATAGCTCTTATCCGGTAAGATTCTTGACCCTTCTCATGTTCACTTCGTTGAGGAAATTTATCCGGTAAGTACTTACCAAGTAAGTGTTTAATAAACGGTCATTTATAAAAAAAAAAAATAGACAAACTCTTTTATCAAACGTGTTTTAAAATCTTAAGTTTAAGTTAAAATAAATCGACAATATCTGAAAGGTTGATTCCGAACTGCTACAGTAATAAAGATTACGTCAAGGTGACATCATGTTGCCTTGAACAAATGGGTAATTTGGTAATTAACCCATAGATGGACCTCCGTTTTCTTTCCATATTTCATACCTCCAAACACCATTCGATCAGATTTCCCCCTTTCTCCTGATCTCTACACACAGATTCTTGATAAATATTCCATCCATTCTATTCTTAACAACAAATTCCCTCTTTTTTCACTTTGAATCGATCCTATCTTCCCTAATTTAGTATATACCCGTTCCAATTTATGCCTCTAACCCCTCTTTCTGATCAATCGCAACCAAAGATGTTGGATACTTGTCTCCAATTTGTCTTCTGAAACACTGCAATTACGTCTCGCTTTTTACTCGAACCCAACTTGATTGGTACTGAAGGGGTTAGGGTTTTGATTTTGTTTGAAGTTTGGTTGCGATCGGTGACATGAAGATCGAGGATGTGGATGATTCTTCCGATGTAAAAATCTTTGAGCGGGCCGTCGAGTATGATTCGCGACGGCAGATTGTTGCTGTTGATGCGAAGAGAGCGTTAGTTGGAGCCGGAGCTCGAATCCTGTTTTACCCTACGCTTTTGTATAACGTTTTTCGTAACAAGATTCAATCTGAGTTCAGATGGTGGGATCAAGTTGATCAGGTATATGATGATCAACTTTCTCTTTATTATCGTCTTTTTTATGTTTCAAGATATCGATGATGTGTTCATACTAATTCAAACTAAAAGAGAATCAGAAATTGAATGGTTCATATGGCGATTTGTATGAACTTTACCCACCTTGAGTAAGCAATTGGTGAAGTCAAAGAGTGGTTGACCTTCTAACGGTTGTCCGGTTGGGGAAACTTGTAATCTAGAGCAAAGCTTTCTTTGGATAGCTATGGATATCCAGGCCAGCTTAGGGGCTGTTTGGTTGGTTTTCTTAAGCTCTTTATGGATAAAGCTGGGATTAAACTGTCTGTATAGATTGGGAAGGTTTTTGTTTGTGATGGTTTTTTCATAGACGGAAGAAGCGTGTTCTTTTTATTTGGAGAGACATATTATGAAAAAACTTGGCTTTCTACATAAAAGTCCCCCTTGAAGCTTACTTGATAAGCCACTTCCTATATCATTAAGCCACTACCCAGTCATGCATAGCTGACCGAATTAGCTGTTAGTCCTGTTGAGCTTGTTAAGCTTGCTAACAAACAGGCTCTCAGACTTATCCCTGAGTGACCATGAATGGCATGGAGTACATTTGTTTGTTCTTGGGAGGGGTGAAGTTGTTTTTGTTTGGTTATCAATGGTGAAATATGTTAATTTGATCTAAATCTGTTTGGTGTTTTCTTTTTCTTTCTTTTTAACCAGTTTCTTCTGCTGGGTGCTGTTCCATTTCCGAAAGACGTCCCTCGATTAAAGCAGCTTGATGTTGGTGGTGTCATCACTCTCAACGAGCCGTATGAAACTCTGGTTCCCACGTCGTTATATCGTGTAAGTCTCCATGGCTGTATTTTGTTCCGTTCATTGTACTCTATGGAATTCTAGATATCTGCAGACACAATTGGGGGATTAAGATCTTGGTGGGGTGGCAAAGTTTTTGCGTGTTTGAAATGGGTGGTTGCAATGGGAACCTGAAGCATACATGCCAGCTGATTCTTGTCTTGCTATTGTATGTCGGGTTTTATTTCTTGAACGGATTATAGAAACGAGTACAGATTGATACATACCCTCTTCATTTTATTCTGAAAGCATGTAACTAACCGGTTATTTTATTGCATAAGATCAGTTTGCGCACAGTGGTATTTAATGATAATGATGATGGTGATGCCTTCAAGATATGATCTTGTCAAGTCGAGTACTGTTCTCTTGTCCAGTCCAGTCTTGTCTCTATACCAAACGATACAGACAAATGAGTCTCATCAGTCAAATAAATGCTAGTTATTGAAGTTTCTATTTTTTTTCTTCTTTTTATTCGTTTACCTCACCTATGTGTTATGTTTTAGGCTTATGACATAGACCATCTCGTTATTCCTACAAGAGATTACCTATTTGCTCCTTCGTTTGTGGACATTGATCGAGCTGTAAATTTCATTCACAGTGAGTAAATCGTATCGCTCTATGCAACTACTCTTTAAAGATTCTCTTTGACTTCATATCTGTGTTGCGTTTTGGGTTACAGAGAATGCAAGCCATGGTAGGACTACATATGTGCACTGCAAAGCTGGGAGAGGAAGGAGTACAACGATCGTGCTTTGTTATTTGGTAGCTCTCAGTTCTTTATGTAGATAAACCTTTTTTACAACAATTTGTTCAAAGGACATATTGTAGCCTTCAGAGATGTGTTACAACAATGGCATATTCACTTGTGAATTTGTACATTGTGGCCCTCAAAGATGTGTTAGGACAATAGCATAGTCACTTGTGAATCTGTATGGATGAGCTGCCCCTGACATTTTGCAGGTTGAATACAAGCACATGACTCCAGCTTCTGCATTGGAATATGTTCGATCTAGGCGACCTAGAGTGCTATTGGCACCATCTCAGTGGAAGGTTAGACCCCCAATCCGGTCACAACAAAACAATGTAGCACTAGACTCCCTTGTAGGACCAATAATGGTGGGTTTTGTATGAAGGTGTTATAGTAAGTTGATAGGACGCTTTTCAGCATATCCTAGCACGATTTTAGGACACTTTTAAATTAAAACGTCCTATGAGGCCCGAAAACATTTTGACAACTTATTGCAGCACCTTTATATATGACACACAATTATTTGATACTACGAACTTATGCGGTTTATTAGTACATTTAGGGCATATTTGTTATGAGCTTAATGGGACTCATAGCTTATTCAGTCAGCTATACATGATTTTTTGGTAGTGGCTTAATGATATGTAGCTTATAGAGGGGGGTTTTATGCAAATAGCGAAGTTTTTCCCAAACATTCCCCTCCCAATTAAAAAAACGCTCCTTCCATCTATGGAAAAACCCTTCCAAACAAAAAATTTCTCAATCCGTACCGGATTAATCTACATAGACAGCTTTATTCATACAAAGACTTGGAGGTTGTTTATAGATTGGGAGGGTTTTTTCATAGAGGGAATAAACTTGTTTTTAATTAGAGGGACAGGTTTGGGAAAAACTTGGCTTTGCATAAAGCTCCTCCTAGAAGTTAACTGAAGAAGCCTCTTACCAAACAATAAATATAGCTGACCGGGTAAGCTGGGTCTCATTAAGCTGTTAATAAACAAGCTGTTAATTGAAAACCAACCAAACAGCCCCTTAGACATGTTTGATTCCCTTATTGAGAGAAGCAGGTGAAATGTATTGTATTTATGCGTGCAGGCAGTTCAAGAATACAAGCAGTGGCGATTAGCAGCGTCAAGCAGTCGGTCAGCTTCGGGGGACGCTGTGCTGATAACCAAAGCAGATTTGGAAGGGTATCACAGCCCGTCGTCACAAGTGGCGCTGATTCCAAGAAGCAGGCCGATGATAGCAAAGCTGTCTTGCCTCTTTGCATCTCTGAAAGTTTCCGGTATTACGACAGCTCCCGTGAGTTTGAAACTAACAGAGACACCTGCTTGTTAGGACTGATAATGGAAGAGTGAAGAAAAAGACTGCGTTGCATGGATGCCTTCTTAGCATCGTATTGTATCGAACGAGCGAGCACCCTTGTGTCTATATTGATTTCCGGTGTTTGTAGTAGGTGAAAACTATTATATCAATAAGCGATTCGTGCTTCAGCATTAACTTGTGTGACTGAAAAGCCTAATATCATCGATCGTCATCACGATCATTAAACCATAGCGAGTCCAAAATCTCCTCAGAAGTGTATATATGTAGGGTTGGATTTCGTTAAAAATGAAAGTTATCATGAGAAGAAATCTTCACCCTTGAATTCAATCCTAATGAAAGTTATTCATGGATTGTTTTGGGATAAAAAGTGATCAAGGGTTTTGAACCCTTCTTACACTTCTCTTATTTGACTATAGTCGATTACATGTGATATTATATTATATCAAATATGGTACGCATTTGATACTAAATCATACATTTGGAGGACCTTTGGTGCGACCTACGTTATGGGTTAAGTCGTCCCCTCACGTGTATATTATCTCGAGCGATGACAACCAGGAGGTGAGTTTGGAAACAACCATAAGGTGGGCTTGGAAACAACCAGCAGCTCTATGCCGCTAGCTACGCCCTGCTTGGTCTCGGATACATAGCTACGCCCTGCTTGGTCTCGGATACATAGCTTCATCCGAACCATGGATCCACGAGATGTAGGATTTCCAATAAGAAAAAGGGGAAGAAACCCCAGCCATCATCATCGAAATGGACTTAGAAGTTGGGATGAACCTTTAGCGTGACCTAGGTCGCAGGACACGTCGTCCGCACACCACCAGGTCTCCTCATGTGTATTATTAAATAATGGTGTTTTCGTGTCTTCGTAAAATGGAAGTGTTCTCATTTGAACCTCCACCATATATATATATATATATATATATATATATAAATATATATATATATATAAATATATATATAAGCCTAATCAAATGAGAACTAATTAGTTTGTGGTAACTGTGAGAACCAATATTAACCACAAATCAATAGATAAATTAGGAAATTTATAATTTTGACAATTTTGAATTAAAATATTAATACAAGGATATTTTTGGTATTTTAAAACTTTCCTCCCTCCTCTCTCCGGCCACCGTCCGCCGGTGATACTACAGTGGTATCACAATGCATCATATATGTGCTTGGGTATCACATTGATGTCGTTTGTGTGATCGATAGATGTAACACAGTGGTATCACTATGCATCTTATATATGATTAGGTATCACAATGTATCTTTTGTTTAACAGAGTCAATATTTTTAGGTATCACAGTGGTATCATAGTGGTATCACCGGAGGACGGTGGCCGGAGAGAGAAGAGAGGAGAGAGAAGAGTTTTAAAATACCAAAAATATCCCTGCATTAAGATTTTAATTTAAAATTACCAAATTTATAAATTTCCTAATTTATCTATTGATTTGTGGTTAATATTGGTTCTTACAGTTACCACAAACAACTCAGTTCTCCCTTGAATAGGCCTCTCTCTCTCTCTCTCTCTATATATATATATATATATATAGATATAGATAGATAGATAGAGCGAGCAAATATTATGCACGCTCCTCGCATTTGCTGATATCTAGATACCGATGAGCCAATCCCTCTCCCCCCAAAAAAATCACCCAATAAATAAGAGAAATGAATCCAGCCCAGAAAATCTTCTGAAATGATGCAGGTTTTATAGCAATAATACAACCAAAAGAAATGCTCTTGTACTTCACTTACAAAGTGAAACATAGTTTCATTGCAAAAACACCAACCAAAAATTACAGAAATACATTATCTCAAAAATGATGGGTTGCAATGCCATTAATTATTCTTTTATATCTAAAAATAACAATAACAAATAAAACCAACCTTACAATTAATGGAATTTGCTGCTGACCGAGTCGTAGGTTGGTACATTTGAAACTGCCATAAAACGGAATATACATATATATATATATATAAGTAAAAGTCCAAGAGTTCAAATAATATACGGAAAGAAAACCCCAAAAAGAACAAAAACATACCATCTCCATGTGTAGCCATCGTGAGCGGTGATGAGAGAAGCTTCTGGGCAATGGAAGCAATGTCTTTGGCTGATACTTCATCTACCGCTTTCAAGAAAAACTCCACCGGTTTCCTGTTCACACGTAAACAAACATGTTTCAAATATGGAGGTAAAAGATCAATATGGGTAGCTATTAAACTTAATTAACAGTTGAGCTGCTATGATTTACTGGGTTGAAAACAAGTTTTGGATTAACTGGCATGAAATCATTACCTCTCTCCGTATGTCAATATCTGTCTACCTATATCTTCTGAAGCAACCATCTGCAACAAATATAAGCACATTAAACATAATCGTTTATGCTACTAATTTAGTTGGTTAACGATCAACTGCAAGATGAGTAGTAACATACTCTTGATTCTAAGTTCATTAGAATGGCAGACTTGGTTGACTGTTTGGCACGATCCAGCTGTACCTGGTTGACTGAAAAACAGATACGATATTCAGATAACAACCATCAAAAACAAACTGCAAAGGACCCTATATCCACAAAATGAGAAAGTTTAGAAAATTTATCATAAAACATGGAAAGATTAGAAAAAGGGTATGTTAAAAAGCACACCTTCTCCATTAGTGGCAACTGCAATAAGCTCTTTAGCTGCTACATCGATGGCTTTTGATGCAAAATCAGAACTCTGTAGCAAAATGATCAACATGTTGGATTAAGGCATGTTCGTTAGCAGCTTAATGAACTTAATCGGACTCTCAGCTTATTCGGCCAACGATACATGACTGTTGGGTAGTGGTTTATTCAGTAAGCTTTTAGGGGGAGCTTTATGCAGAAAGCCAAGTTTTTCCCTAACCTGCACCTTCCAATTAAAAACATGCTCTTCCCATTTATGAAAAAACTCTCCAAAAAAAACTTCTCAATATATACAGATAGATTAATCCACACAGAAAGCTATCCATACAGAACTTAATGGAAAACCAAGCAAACAGCCCCCTAACACATAAAATTTATATTTTAACCCTTGTAGATATCTTACAGTGGTAGCTTGGATTCCGAAAATCGCAGTGTGGTTGTAGATTGAGTTGAAAGCTGAAAATGAATGGATATCCGGGTACTCATTCAACACTCGGAGATCTGCTCGCAACAATAAGCAGAATCAAGAATAAGAGTAGGAACTAAGCACTGGAAATCGAAGAACACATGATGTCAACAAATTATACACAGACAAGTGAACAAGATATTAGTATGACAATTGAAATGCTGTTGTGGCTATAAGGAAAATACAAAGATGATTAGATTAAAGTAAGAACCGCGAAAAGGTTAGGGTGACCACGACTGATTAGAAATGGGTGCAACACCATTTGAGATTGATTGTCATCTCAAGCTTAGAACTTCTGATGAACGTATCCGAAGTGGACATCTTTATCAAGATTCAAGAAAACCATGACCCACATCATCTTTCCCTCTTTATATCTTTCTATTGGCCTCCATAAACAGATTGATTAAAGTAAACACCCAAACGCATGAACCCAAACTATATCATAAAAAAACGATACTCTCACTTCAACTCTCAACTGAACTATCATTAAATAAAGAGTTGTATTGTGTGCATAAGCAAATATCTCAAATCCACAAAAGTAGCTAATCAAGAGCTTGGCTATGTCTAGTAACTTACAAAGCCGTGAGTACATCCCTTTTCCAGGACCCCCAGCTGAAAAAGATCCACCTCCTCCCATTAGCATCTGCAAATATATAAAGCTTAGTTGAAATCCCATCAAGTTCAGGAACAAGAAATCATGAAACATAATCAGGAAGGAAAAGGGAAGTAGAAAGAATCATTTGGACCCAATAAAGAATTTTAAGCGGTAAATCAAAGTTAAAACAAGATACCTGAAGAACTGTCAAAGTCATGGCATCCTTCTCCTTAAGCCAGCCACCAGGAAGTTCAAATGCGAGCGCAAAACTAGTTCTCTGTTCACCAAGAAATATTAACCATTAGACCATAAGAAACAAATCTAGGGTGACAAACAATAAGTAGGGAAATTATTAAGCGCAAGTTTACAACACACACCCCTGTATCAGCCATAACACGATGATCACCTCCGACATAGACCGACTTTGGCTCCTCAACATGAGCACCACCTGGTAAATCAGAGAGAAGAGGTTCTGCATATTTCAACAGTTCCTCATGTTCAACGCCCGACGCAGCAAGAACTATCCGAGGAGCAGTATAGTTTGCCTGTAATTTGCAAACATAACCAGCTTTAGAAACAAAAAGAATCCATCCCTAATGAACGGATATCTTGAAAGGATGAAGATAACACAACACACATAGAATAGCACATATCAACTTAATCTATGGTATAAGACTCACAGCTACAAATTCTTCCAATACGGTACTGTTTAAGCTATTGAGTTGGCCTTCTGAGGCAAGAAGAGCATTGGCTAATGCACCAGAATATCCAGCCGAGTGAATTGCCTCTAACAGCAAGGTCTCGGAATTGTTGGCATATTCAGCTATCTCAGCTTTCACTTTCTGGATCTGCAAAACAATATAATCACTTTCAGCAAATATCCAAAAGACAACCCAAAAGAGCCAATAGAAACAAAGGAAAATATAAGAACACCTGCTCAGTGACCTCCCAATCCAAGAAAGCCTGATTCCTTACAGAGTCCACAAGTAGCTCTACCATTTGAGGAACATAAGTCTTTAGGGCATCATAGGTGTAACCCATTTGCTCCCTGGAAGCGGAGGCCGTCACATTGCCACCAATAGCCTCTACTTCCCTCACAACACGCAAGTGGCTTCGGTTAGTAGTGCTTTTGAAGGCCATACGTTCTAGAAGGTGTGTAGCCCCAAACGACACTGGTGTTTCGTACATTGAACCAGAATTCACATACAACCCAATGGAAGCTGCCGGATTCTGTTCAAATAATGCAAACAATTATGATTATGTAATAGAAGAAATTATGTGTTAATTATACTACTTTTAAGTGTACTTTATACGAAAGGAAAAAAAGAAAGATGAATGCTTCTACTTAAATAACTGGTATATGAAAACTCAAGTCTATTTACTTTTAAGTGCAACACAAGTCTATTTAGACTTGAGATGCATCAGAAAAGTGTTTTGTATCTATTTATTATTGGTCTAATTATGCGATATCTGGAAGCAGTCTAAAAGTAGCAATTAATATATCGATCCGAAGTTCGTCCCTATCAGCAAGACCTAAAGACGGAATTAATAGAGCTTCAACATCCCAAATCATCTTAACTTAATCAGGCAATGACATAGAATACATGCCTTGCAACTAGAAATAAAGTAAATGCTCCCTTACCGCTGAAGTTTCGGAGGCGATTCTGACTCCATTTGGCAGAGTTGTTATCTTGGTCTTCCCGGTTTCAACGTGATCAGGTAAAGAAGATGGAAGTTCAATGCCCTTGAGTGGAAAGTCCAGGGGAGGGAGGCTGGAAGAACTTCCTCCTGTAAACCAGCTAAAGAGACCCCCTGAAGATGATTTGGCCGCAACCGCACTAGAACTTGCAAACCTGGCTAGTGTCCTGTTGCCAACATGACCCTATTGCAAATCTTGGAATCAGCACATTTTTTTTAATAGGGAAGCAGATTAAGAAATAACAGAAACTGTAGTTATATAAAAATTGGCCACCACATATTTTGGGGAAATAAAGGTTCAAGACAATATTGACTATAACCATTCAATAGCCTTTCATGTCATAAGAGAAAAGTGTACTAAGGAATGCAAGTAAAACATGCTCTTGTATGTCCTCCCATCACGTGAAATTTGTCATGATTGTGAGCCATTAACAACAGCATCAATAACGATTGAGATGATGAAATAGATAACTTCGGCTAAATATATGAAATATTAAAAGTCGTCATTTTCACAGGAGATCCTACAATGGAAATCATTGATTTTCCATGGGACGGAATGAATAGTTGAAGACCCCCCCCTCCCAAAAAAAATAGTTAGTCTTCTGTCCAATCTCATGGGTATGAGAATTACACGCCTATATTGAATTTTATTTTCCTTTTATTAGGACGTGCAATTTCTGTTCTGATACTCTAGAACCATTTTAAAACATCTACACACGATTATGCATCAATGAAGTTCAATACTTTCTTAAAAAGGACTCCCAGCCACTTTATTTTAACATCTTCTCATATCCTTCAACAAAAGAAGAATTGCAAGTTCGACTTTGATCTATTATTTTGTGTGTTGGCACTTGGCATGACAAAAGATTATGATATGATAGTTCAATTGCAACAAACGAACAAATAGAAAGTCGTGTTGATTGTATTTCTAGATTATCATTTACTACGTTCACACGTCGAATTTCTTCAGTTGATATGATATGGCAAATGATGATAAATTCGACTCTACCACCATTCACAAAACCATGGCAAGCATTCAACAAATTACAAATTATCTAGATTCAGGAACCTCATTAACATTGCATCGCATATGTAGCTCCCCTATGGACTGTGGCACATATGACTAAACAAGATTTAATTTACACTTCAGGCATTCGACCAAGAGAGAGTCTCCGCACTTGCCACACAGGTATTAAAAGAAAGTTTCTGTCTTCAACAGAAAATACTTCCATATTTCACAAATCTCAGTCTCTGGTTAAAAAGTTACTGCCTTTGACACAAAATACTCATATTTCACAAATCTCAGTATTTGATTTACCTTTTAATGGCTTTTCCCTTGCGCATTCTTCATATACATATGGGAAATTCCAGTTCACACATTTTAGCTCGATGAAGATTTATCTTTCTCTGTTCTTTAACATACGATTTTTTTTCTTTTTCATCCTTACGTTTTCCCTGACACTAGATTTACTATGAATATAAACACAAAAATAGTCAAACTACACAAAACAAGGTAACAGGTAAGTTCAGATCGACGAACCCTAACATGTAGCTAACAACATAATTACAAAATAAATAAAAAACGCATATATTCGAATCAATAGGTCATATGATCGCTTCAAATATTAGCTCTTTTTCTTCCCATCAATGGATTAATAGGTTATTACTGACCTTGAGGCTTCTGATCCTCGAAGAAGCGGCGCGATACATAACGATTAATCAATTAACTTATGCAGAATCGAAGAAAATGGCGTTCTTCGTTTCTCTCTCTCTCTGTGGAACGGAGCTGCAGAAGCAAGACTGGGGAAAATGTTTGTGGGGCGAATTTGGGGTTTGAGAAGCGAGAGCGGTGGGCGGATTGGTGTTAACACGTGTGAGAATCGTTCTCGTGGTACGTGTGAGATATGGGCTTGGGCTGATTTATTGTTTTGGGCCCTAGTTTAATAACTTGGCTCAATAAATAAGGTCCGATATATAGTTTCTTATAACATTGTTAATTAACAAATAAGAGGTCGTTTATTAAATGCTTAGCAGGTAAGTGTTTATCAATACCATTTGCTTTAATGATCGAGTATGATGAAGATTATGAATCTTACCCGATAAGAGACATAACAAGTACCGAGAGTCTTACCTGGTAAGTGTAATAAAATATCTTACCCGGTAAGCATTTACCGGGTTTAAAATGCTTACCAACAAAAGACATTGTGATGGATGATAGTGAGAATAATTTATCTTGCTGGTAAGTGCTTATCCAGAAAGCATTTGGTAAACGGTCTTTAAATAAATAAGCAAATTAGGGTTTCTGTCAAATGAAATGTTGAATTTTTTTAAACAAATCATATTATAGATATGTGTATTTTTTTTAAACAAATAAAGTTCTGTAAAATACCAGGATTAAGAAAAATGGAAACATCAGTTGTTTATGAACAATTCTAAAACTTTGTTTTCGAATTTCGTTGTGTTTTTTTTTTTTTTGGGTACATGGGTAATGTTTAAACAAGTTTAAAGTTTGGCACCAGCCAAATATCTATTAAGGAAATGCGGTCAAATGAAGAAGGAAGTATCAATACCGGAGTGGTTAAATGACCAGACTGGTTACAGGGACCATGGGACACGCCCACATAACGTCAAGGGGCAAGGGTTTAGCTTATGTTTTTTCTAACCCACGTTAAGTTTGTATTACTTTTTACTGTTTTATCTCACCATCAATCCGTAGATATGATTGTTTATAAACACTCTACACTCTCGATTCCCATACATTTGCTCATAGCAGGAGCTATCGTGTCTTAATTCACTCTTTGTGATTTTGTGTGTAGCTCTAATTTCTTTGAAATAGATGAATTTTCGAGAAAAGAATTCGTAAAACTTGTTATCATATATCATATTGTAGAAGCGTAAGTAACACTGACTGTGGAAAGCACACACCAAACCGTCACAACATGCATTTGAAATCTCACACTGTGTCTCACGATTTCATGAAAAGTGACTTGTATCATTAGATTCCAACCCTATATACAAGATATTACATATACATACATCTTATATATATATATATATATAGAGAGAGAGAGAGAGAGAGAGAGAGAGAATGAGTGAGCTCAGTTCAAATGAGAATTGCAAATATCTTGAAAAACAATGACCTAATTTTCAATGTATATTCATTGTTGAATATATGAATTGATATAATACAATTACAAGTGAATATAGTAGATACTACATATAAATTGATGAACATCCATACTTTGATCATATTTATATAGCGTATTTATTAACGAATGCATACTATAAAATTAGTATTTTGGTTCTCATATTATTTACGGTTCTCACAAGAACCCTCCCCTATATATAACAACTAAAACAGTCAATCCAAAGAAGGATCAATTACGACTATCAGTTATACATTTCCGAGGTAAGATCAGTTACGAGCCCAAGACCAATTACTCTAGGACTGGTCGGGTTCTATTTTCTTATTAAGAGAAAGGAGCATATGTGTTATCCTTTTTCCAATGAGTGTATGTTTAGTTATTACTGTTGTTGTACATGTATACATGATGCACGCAAGTATACGTACAAGCACGTATATTTATTAACGTATTTTTGTGTGTTGTTAGTGGTGTATGTAAGGTCGTGCCATAACGAGAGTAATTGTTTTTCTACAGCTGTCTATATACTCATCACATAGTTCATTATGTCATCCAAAAAAAAGTTATCAACTTGAACTTAACTGAGTATAAACAGTTTAATAGTCACGGATAATTATAACTGGTTGTAGCGGCGGACTCAACAATTTTCTTGAGCGACTGCACCTTTAAAATGATAAAAGGCCCGCGAAGTCGTGAGTTTTGATTAGAGGAAAATGTTGATGCGGTTTGATCCGAGGGAAAAACAATTATGTTGATTTCAAAATTAAGGGGGTGTTTGAGATTGCTTATAAAAACAACTTATTGACTTATTTTGATGTGGCGCTGGTAATAAGCACTTTTGAGTGTTTTGATAAACAACTTGTATCGATGTCAAACTGGTAATAAGAAGTTTTTGAGAAGTTCAACCATTCTCACTTATAATAAGTTGATAAGTGTTTTTGTAGAAAAGTATAAGTTGTTTCAAGTAAGCAATCCCAAACACCCCCCAAAAAAATTTCAAATTGAATTGATCTTGACCTATTGAGTAAAACAAATGACTACGTCTTACGCCCGCTTCTTTTAGCTGAATTTTGTCACTACAAGGAACTTGTTTTTTCTAAGCTTTTCAGTTACGTTTTTTTATGCATTTAGAATTCTCGGTATTGAATAAGATGTTTTGCAAATCAAAATCAATTATACGTCTTATTTCGCTTTCTTATACGATTTAAGATTTCGACACTAACCAAATTAATAACTAAAAGCAAATTACAAAATACAAAATAATCCAATATAAAAGAAATTCATATTTTTGGAGAAAATTAATTACTAAGACCCTGATAATTTACAATAGTACGTGAGGATACAATTAATCAACTGTTAAAATAAAACTGGTGTAAAGATGAAATTAATAGAGTATTCAATAGTTATTTAAGATTGAAAAATACAAGAGCAAGAACAAAAGTTACCAGGTCTGCAGTTGTGAACCAAAAAACTACATATTTATTACAAGTAGGAATTATACCCAATAAGACACTTTGGGTGTATTTGGTGTCCAGACAAGACAAAACATGATAGAACAATTGTTCAACGTTTGTTAAGATAAAACTGGATAGAACAGAACAAGTAAAATGATCAATTTACCTCTAATGAGTTGTTTATTTTAATTAATTTATTAAATTATAGTAGAATAATTATTTTTTATAACAAAATAAAAAGTTTATGTAGTTTCCAATATTTATTTTTGTCTCTTTTCTACATTATTTTTTATTATTAATATATAACATATCACATAAATTAGTAAAAATATAAAAACTGTACAAAAATAATATTTTGAGAACAGTAAAATGAAAGTTTAAGAAACATAAAATACAATAAATAAAATTTAACGAATAAATAAAATGTAAAAATGAAATATATTTGATATTTTAGAAGAGAATTAAGTTTCATTTTGAGATTATATTGATAAAAATTAAAATAGTTTGTTACACCCTGTTCCATTGGGTAAAGGTGGAACAGGCTTGTTCCACTATGTTTCTGTCTTTTCCACATAAAAGTCATGTCAAACATGAGACATGGATCTCTGTCATATTATGTCATGTTTACCAAACGCACCATTTATTTCAAAAACCAAGACCATCCACCTAACTTTAAATCTTGTTACATAATTGGTTTTAAAATATCTCAAGACACACTCAAAATCAAACAGATGCACATTTATTGCACATTCTTTCTCTTACGATAATCAAATGAATGGGAGTACAAAACCCTGCTCGGTCCTCAGTAGATCCATTTCGGTACACCTGTATTGAGAATACTGTATCAAATCCACCTCTAATAATTTCAACATAAAATGAAGTTAATTTTAGAAACGATTTTATACCATTGAATTTATAATTAAATTAGAAAATAAAAGGAAAAAAAAATCATAAAGCATGTTAAATACATGTCTAAATTAAAACATGGTGCAGCAGCCCAACCCCACGCCGCCAAGAAAAGTCTAACAAATGTGATTATAAAATATTTTTCTTAAAATTTTAAAAAAATTATATGAAAAAATAACGTATTTTAACTTGATTTTTATTCCAGATAACGTATTTTCAAAACTTTCATTCTGGTATCTAAGATGTCAAGTTTGAAATATTTAAGTAGTAATAGGTTGAAGCATTAACCGATTATTATATTGATGTGGGTAGTGATGTGATATTTAGCTTAGTATTATATATATATATATATATATA